TTTTTTTCTCCTTGAATTAGAGCTTAAATAGCCAGGAGAAAGACAATAGGCCTAAAAGAAAACTGAGATACAATCACAGCTAGTGCCACTTTATTCCCCAAAGGATCACTGGAGCAGTCCCATGCCCTGCAAGATAAGCAATATTGTTGGGATCTAAAAAGCTGTAATACAAAATTCTGCAATTCTGATATTTTTTTCAAATTATAGTCTACTTGTATAACAAGGATCGTCTTCACAGTGCTGTTACTGCAATGCCTAAGTAGTTTCCTTGAGAGCTTGAACTCATGCACTGGGAAGCTATATGATGATATTCAAGTTTGTAATGAATCATGCATATTTATAAGAACATAGTGCAGTCCTTACTTTGCAGTTAAACTTCTATGAAGCTGAGGCCATGGCATTTTTATTATTAATTAATGACATGCTATTTATTAATATGTAGAAATGCTAACATTGTTCTCCATTTCACTTACGTTACCTCCCTGTACTACCCTTTGTCTGACATTGGTTAAAGATTGACAGAGGAGAAGTATTTTTTGGAATATCAATGTGGCGTTAGTTCTACTTCTTCCTCTTACTTTTTTTAAAATGGAAATTGATACCCTAATTGCCAAACAAATGCAAATAGTTGCAAAAAGTTTAGCATTTGCTTTCTCACCTGTTAAAATAGAAGAGACAAAATAAAAGTCCAAGGAACGTTTGCTAGTTATATCAGCATACCGTGACAGCTTTTACTGCTTCTCAGCACTATATCAGATCATTTTATAGGTTAAGAAACAAGGCCTCGAGAAGAGTGGAAAGGAACTCTTTCTAGTGTCTGGCAATGTTATTTGTTTTTAACTCTTGAGCACCCTCACAGAACTTGTATGCTTTTGTGAGACTGCCTAGAATAGTAGAAGATGCCATCTCTTGAGCTGGAGAAGGTACAAAGCAGGCATTGATGAATCTGTGAAGACAAGAGAGGCAGTTGTCTCAATGGAGCAAGTTTATCTCATCAGTTTCACTGCTTCTTCCTTTTGAATTTGCTGAATGTTCATTCAGGGTGTAATGCACTTTATTTCCACTTCTAAATACATATTCTTCTATAGATCTCTGATAAACTATTTCATACTTTCAAAGCTGTTAGTAGAAAACACTTTGAAATATAGAACAAAAATAAATTATATAGCAAGTGTTTTACATTTTAAAATGGCATCTCTTTAAAGAAGGAAGTTGTCTAGCTGTGATCTACTTGTAGAATTCATCAATAAAATATTGAGTTTTGAGTTGTAAAAGGAGCCGGAAAAAAAAAAAAAAAAAAAAAAAAACAACAAAAAAACAAACAAAAGAACCCCACCAGAACCCTAGAAACAAGGCTTGAACTTGTCATAAAAATACATAGAAACTATTCAGAAATATAGTTAAACTGGGCAAGCATAATTAGCCATGGGAAAACTACCTATGCTAGGTTAGCTTATGATGTTTGGCTGTACCATTCAGTGGTTTAGGATCTACTGCAGATTCTGTTCAGCTGCCATTGTAGGGACAGATGGGAAAATTTATTTGGAAACAAAATGTGCTCTAACCTAGAGGCTAGGATTCATGTACAACCATCTTAATGCAAACCCACTTCCACTGTTTGGGTATGTCCATGTTCAGGCTGGAGTTGAAATGTGTTGAGATCTGGAAGGCTGTTCTGTGCAAATGAGATGTTTTAGTGACTTTTCCAGTAAGCCTCAGAAACGGTCCACTAAGCTTGTGCAAATACCAGTTTTCAAAGACTTAAAGCATAGCCAAAGCAGAGTAAAAGACAAGTTCATCTTGCCAGATTTCAGTTTTTTGCTCAGAAGCTTGCTGTCATATTAGCAGCCTTCCAACAATCAGGAATTTAAAATATGTAGCAAAGCAATGCATTTCCTTCCAAAACTTATCTTTCTATACAATTTAACATTTTACTTAATTTCTTTGAGATGTAGTCTTAGACAAAGATTGGGTAGCCAAAACTCAAGCTTTAGTTAAATGCCTAGCAGAGAAAAGGGGGGAAAAAAAGAAAAAAAAAAAGCTTTACAATGTATTTTTTAAAGCAGACTTAACAATAGACTTTACTTTGCCTAAATTTAAACACACTGTCCCTCCTAGAAAATAAGTCTTTAATAAATAAATGCATACATTTAGAAGTATTAATTGGTCCTTCTGAGATCACCCTTTTTAACTTTTACTGCAAGAAAACATACTGAACCCAAACCTGCTTCTCATTAAGTCAGTGAAAGCAGCACTCTGATAAACATTTAGTTCGACAAAATGAATTCAAGATGTTGGAATTATTTCATCCATTTTATTAAACATTTTTCCTGAATCCTTTATTCACTGAAGCTGTAAGATTTGAGTAGGTCTGTTACGTCTTTCTGAGAAATTTTTAGGCTGAAGGTAAACTAAACGCATCCAGAAAGGTGATTTGAATGACATCTGTTACACAGAAGGGAACATGTACTTGAATAAATATATCACATAGGAATATGTTGAAGTAATCCCTTTACTTGTTCACACAAGCTAGAGCACCCAGGATAAGCATAAATGTATACAGGTGGTTTTGTGAAACTTTTCATCATTTTGGATATCCTTTTCTTAGACTTTCTTAACTGTGAGATGTCTTTTACTCATCCAGGGAAAATTTTTATGTGTAAATTTGCTACTTTAAAAATAGCATTAATAATGAGCTTGCCCTTCATATGCCTTTTTCTAGATGCTGAATGAAGAGAACAAGTATAAGATAGTATAAGACTTTTCTGCTCAAAAGATTTCATATTGGTGTGGAACAAAAACTATTCCTCTTACATAATCAGTTTATGTTCTTGGCAAGCAAATGAAAATCAGTGGACTTGCTTTTCTGATTAAATCTGTTTTGAGTGTGAAGTGTGCTTAAATGGATAGCCCTTACATACAGTAGCTGGATAAATGAATGATTTTGCTTATGAAATATAGCTGAATCATTTATGTCTGTGACCATGATAAATTGCTGTCTAGAAAGAAATCATTGTAGTTTTCATGCTAAACAAGAAAATAAGCAAATGTGAACGTCTCTGGGCTGATCATACTGGAAGAAGAAACCATGACACTTTAACTGTTAGTGAACACGTGGGTAGTAGTAAACACTAGATGCAGTGAACACACATTGTTTATGTTGTGTAGCATTCTCCCACTCCCTTAAATGCGTAGAAGGAAACTCATAAGACTTTTTTTTAACATTTAGCTGTTATCCTTGTGCAGAAACTGACAAACAGAAACTGACGGAGTAGTAAACCACTTGAGTCCATTTTATTTAATCTAACACTGATCACATTTCCAGTAGAAAATAACTATAATGTGCTGCTGACAGATGTGTGGAAATGTATGTACAATTAGATGATGAAATTTAGGTCAAGGCAGTTCAAATCTCAGTGCATACCTTTGCATTTATGTGAATACTACAATAAAATTCTTACCTGCTGATGCACAACCTGCAGTATCAACTTACCCTGTCTCATCTAGTCTACTATTGGGAAAACTGCCTTGCCATTGGCACATTGGTGAATCTCAGGCTGGATTCAAGCATTTATTGAAGTAAATGAAATTCTTTGCATGGGCTTCATGTGGCTTTGGATAAGGCCTTGGTGTGTTTTCCCAGTTGAAATGTAGTATTTCCTAAACTGGAAGATTTTCAAGACATGAAAGCTTTAAATCTGTGCCTTGGGGTAAATGAATGTAATGAGAGAGAATCCAGGAGATCAACTGAATTGGGAGCATAAAATGGGAGACATTTCATTCTGGATTTTTTTCTTTTTCTTATTTTGGAGAAACCAAAATCAGATTCAAACAGCATACCCATATTAGATGGAAAGATAGTATGGTTTGGGTTTTTTTTCTCCTCCAGAGGAGAGTGTGAGGAGCATGGAAGACAGTTTAAAAGTGAAACTTGTAATAAATGCTTGGGATGCTGGGTCTTGCCTTAACACTTGCCACTGCATTTTCTGGACAGAATATGAAGATGCAAGAGTTGTTAAACTTACTGAACTGTCCCAACTGTCCCTCTCTTATTAGCCATCTCAATCTTTTACAATGCAAGTGGGCTTTTACAACTTTGTAAAATAATCTTTCTGTTGGCCTTTATAGTATAACATGTGGTAAATGGTTCTCCTATTGCAGATGGGCTGGCAACTTTGCTTATACATAGAAAAAAGGTTTCTTTGGGGAATAAAAATCTGCGTAATTAATTTATAATTGAAGCAAGGAAAAGGCAAGCACGCACTGCAAATTAGATTTCTATTACCAGTCTAACAAGAACCACTCCTTTTCTGCTTTGTCTATGAAAGGCAGATCTGTTGTCACTGAATGAAAGCCATCCACAGTCTCTCAGTATAATTGAAATGCTGAAGTCCATTGTGGTCTATTCCTGCAAAATTGCTTTTTTAAAAAATTTTGCAAGATTCCTGGAAATTACTCAGAAGAAAAAAGATCAAGTAAACTAATTAGAATATATGCATTTTTCATAGTGAAAAGTCTTTCAGATTTATGTAAAAGCTCTGTTCATTTATCTGTATGTTCCTTTGCTGGATTTAGTATGAATTCAGTGACTATAGATGGTTGGAATACAGATAATGGGAGGCAGAAGTCCTGCTTCTGATTTGCTCTGCAGTGACTGAAATTACACTTAATTTATCTGTTTTCTTCTAAGAAATGCATACATACATACAGCTGTCTACCCATCAATCCATCCATTCACATCCATATATACAAGCGTATATGTATAGATATATGTGTATGTATGTGTGTGTGTATACATGCACTGCGGCATGCATGTCTTTCAGAAGCAATTTGAACAGTTTGGGAACTAGTGACATTTACTTCATAATACCTGGAAGAAAAGTGGAAAATGCTGGGGTTGTTGCTGTTCATGACAAATTATTGGCTATTTCCTTAGATTTAGTTAAAAGACAGTACCACAAAACCACAAAATATTTATATACTATCACTTCGTTTAACAGGTCTATGGAAATGCAAGATCTAGCAAGTCCTCATAATCTTGTTGGAAGCAGTGATGCACCGGGTAGTTCTAAACTGGATAAACCTAATCTCAGTAGTACATCAGTTACAACAAATGGAACAGGAGGTAAGTGTAAGACATTTACAGTACGTAGCAATTTTTGGCTAGTTCTTAACTTCATGCATAAAAACTCAGAAAGAAATAGAAAATACTGGTGTACCTCTACTAATCCCAGCAACACTTTTCCAATTTGCACTAATTGAAGGAAGAGGTAGAACTGCACAAAAGTGAAAGTAAGAAAGCTTTGAAATGGTTTAACAAATTCATAAAGGCTTTGTTATGCCTGTTGGTAACTTGGAATGAATTGCTTTTCAGCTTCTTACTTCATGGCTGAATTATAATTTACAGTTATACCCCGAACTACATCCATGTAGATTTATTGAAAAGTTCTGGCAAAAGAAGTACATCAAAATTGTCATTGCTGCTGGCTTAGATAATTTTCTTAAATGATGAACATGCTAATTTTATTTATTGGCAGGCAGTGAAAGTTTGTCAAGAAGGAATGTTTAGGTTTAACTCTAAATTTACTGGCTATTATCACTGTATCTATTACTAAATGAACAGTGCTACCATGCAGCTACAACACAGATGTCCAGATGTTTTCAGATAGTAGGTTCTGCCATAGCTGAGATGCAAAAATGAGGGGGTGTCACATTCTGAGATGGAGTCATGGCCTCATTATTGTCTGTGAGAGTGTCACCATGCATATGTTTCAAGCTGTAGTTTCAGTCCTCTTTCTTGGAAGTTAGATGTTGGCACCCCAAAAAAAACTTTGTAGTTAGTTCTTTCTGGCCACGATGCAAACCATTTAATTCACTTGCTTAAAAAGAAAAAAACTGTGAATGTCATTAAAAAGTGCATGTGCATGTGAGGGAAATAGAACCCTACAAAAAAGGACTGAACCATTATTGTTCTACCTATTTATATTTTTAAGAAAATCATAATTCCAGTATAAAGAGAAGGGAAAGCTTCAAGCATACCACTAAAGAACACTAATATCTATATGCCCCTATATATTATACTTGCATAAATAAACTGGTTAAAGCAATGCTCAGGAAAACAACGCAGTGCAGTTAAGAGACTTGGCTCAAAGTATAACAACACTTACTAGCACTGAAGAATATTCATGTACACTGAACAGACATTCAGACAATGAACCATTATACCATTCCTGTCCTCAGGAGACAACATGACTGTTTTAAATACTGCAGACTGGTTGCTGAGTTGCAGTACTCCCTCCTCTGCAACAAGTATGAGAGACCCTGGTACAGTGCATGTGTGTGGTGATGTGTCTCTGTGGCTGCTGTGTAACATCTCTTGGTTTGCTCTGTTTTTTTTTGTTTTGTGGTTTGAACATTTCCATCCTTTTTTTGTTCTCCACCCCATTTTTTTCCACCCCTTCTCAAAGGTCTTTCCCACAGCCAAAAAAAACAGAAGGAAGTTGCAATATGTACTGATCTTGCCGTACTTTGAAAGACAATAGAAAAACAAGGAGAATTTTAGCTAACTTAAAATTAGCTGAACTGCGTATGTGCTCTGAGAGCCTGGGAGAGCACCATGCTGCAGAACACGCTGAGTATTGCTAGCATTCAGCACTTCTGTAATTCTAGCAGATTTTGCACAGAATGCTCATCTGTTTTTCTCTGATTTTTAGGTACAACATTACATGGCTACCTGAGCTCAAATTACTATAAATTGCTATTCCATCTACTACTACCACTACTACTTTCACTTTTAATTAATGCTTATGCAACTTTCCTCTTCACAAATATTAGTCCAGATTTTCCAAGCTGCTGTTTTCATTTGTGAGTTTCCTCTCCTGTGTATTATTGAGTTACAATGACTATTAATAATTATATATGTGGCATTGTTGCAGTGCATATGAGATTAACCACTGTGTAAATGACTCTCCACAAGCCTTTACACAAGTGTTTAAGCTGTGCAGACTCAGATTACATTTAGGAATATCTCAAAAATATCCTTTTTAAAACAAAAATAAAATTAGGATTAATTTACCATTTCCAAGACAGATTTTATAAAAAATAAACTGCAGCCTTCCAGTACTTATAGGGGGCTTATAAACAGGAGGGGGCTGATATTGATAGGACACAGTCTGATAGTGATAGGTCAAAGTGAAATGATTTTAAACCAAAATGGGTGAGATTTGCTTTAGATGTTAAGAGGAAATTCTTCACTCAGAGGGTGGTGAGGCAGTGGCACAGGCTGCTCACAGAAGCTGTGGTTGCCCCATCCCTGGAGAGGCCAGGTTGGATGGGGCCCTGGGCAGCCTGAGCTGGTAGGTGGGAGACCTGCCCATGGCAAGGGGGTGCAGCTGGGTGGGCTTTGAGGTCCCTTTCAACCCAACCATTCTGTGATTCTAGGATAGCTACAGGCCTATCAGTCTCACCTCGGTGCCCAGGAAGGTTATGGAACGAATAATCTCGAGAACCATCATGGACAAATTAAAGGTCAACAAGGAGATCAGGCCCAGTAAGCATGGGTTTACAAATGGTTACAAATGGTAGATCCTGTCTGACAAACCTGATTTCATTCTATGACAAGGTGACCCGCTTAGTGGATGAGGGTCAGGCTGCTGATGTGGTCTACCTGGACTTCAGTAAGGCCTTTGATACTGTCTCCCATAACATTCTCATGGAGAATCTGGCTGCCCATGGTCTGAATGGGTGTACGCTCCACTGGTTGAAGCACTGGCTGGATGGCCGGGCCCAAAGAGTCGTGGTCAATGGAGTTGGATCTAGTTGGCAATCGCTCACAAGCGGACTCCCCCAAGGCTCAGTACTGGGGCCACTTCTGTTTAACATCTTCATTGATGATCCTGATGAGGGGATTGAGTGCACCCTCAGTAAGTTTGCAGATGACACCAAGCTGGGAAGGAATGTTGATCTGTGTGAAAGGAGAAGGGCACTACAGAACGACTTGGACAGACTGGATAGATGGGCCAAGGTAAACGGCATGAGTTTCAATATGGCCAAGTGTCGAGTCCTGCATTTTGGTTACAACAACCCCAGGCAACCTACAGGCTTGGGGAGGAATGGCTGGAAAGCTGCCTGATGGAAAGGGACCTTGGTGTACTGATGGACAGTTGGCTGAATATGAGCCAGCAGTGTGCCCAGGTGGCCAAGAAGGCCAATGGCATCCTGGCTTGTATCAGGAATGGTGTGGTGAGCAGGACTAGGGAAGTCATCCTGCCCCTGTACTCGGCATTGGTGAGACCTCACCTTGCGTACTGTGTTCAGTTTTGGGCACATCAGTACAGAAAGGACATTGAGGTACTGGAGCAGGTCCAGAGAAGGGCAATAAGGCTGGTGAAGGGCGTGGAAAATCAGCCCTATGAGGAGAGGCTGAGGGAGCTGGGGCTGTTTGGTCTGGGGAAGAGGCGGCTAAGGGGAGACCTCATTACTGTCTTCCAGTACCTGAAAGGTGCTTACAGTGAGAGCTGTACAGTGAGAGGGGTTGGTCTCTTCTCATTGGTGACAGGTGACAGGATGAGGGGAAATGGCCTCAAATTGCGCCAAGGTAAGTTTAGGTTGGACGTTAGTAAACACTTCTTTACAGAAAGGGTGGTTGAACATTGGAATAGGCTCCCCAGGGAGTTGGTTGAGTCACTGTCCCTGGATGTGTTTAAGAGCCATTTGGATGTGGTGCTCGGAGATATGATTTAGCGATGGGTTGTAGAGGGTACTATGGTTAGACTGCGGTTGGACTTGATGATCCTTGAGGTCCCTTCCAACCTGAGTAATTCTATGATTCTATGATTTTATGATTTCATGTAAATGCTTGGTTGAGTTTCAAGAATTTAAGTTTAAATAAATCTAATTTAGTCTGTCACCTCAGTTAAATGTTTAACATGTTCAGATAAATAATTTAACTACTAATTACTAATAGTGAGCAAATATATTATGGAAGCCTGTGTGTTACTGTGGACACATCACCTTTTGCACAAAATGAAAGCTGATTTTCCAAAGGCAGTAGCATGTTTAGGTCTATGCTTCTAGTTGAATATGTCACAGTGAGAACAACCTGTGTTGTGTCTGTACTTTCTACTGTATCTATCTTTAAGGAATATTATGTGCTTATGCTGCATAGAGTTGTTTATGTACTGAGATATGTGTGCTACAGGGTTTCTTTGGCCGCTGCTGCTTGGCTTCCTCCATCTGCCTGCCATCTCCATCCTTCATCTCAGGCATTCTGCCTAACCTGGTCTATGTCTCCTGCCCTCCCAACCTAGTACAGTGCAGCTATAAGTTGAGCTCAGCTTGTCAGGCAGCTGCCAGCCACCTCAGGCGATGTACTACATTCGGCTGCTGTCTTCTGTGAAACTTTCATAGCTTGTTGGCTTCCTATAAACAGAAGAAAAAAAAGTACTCAGAAGAAAATGAGCTTTCAGTCATGCTTGTTTGAACTAATATCTCTCATTGCCTCCTACCTATTACATATGTTTACCTGCATTTGGGCATAGCAGAAGTGTCTTGTAGCATCTCCTACCTCTAAAATCTCAGTGTTTATTTTCAGAGAGGTTATTTAGGAGAACAGGTTGGAAGAGTAAGAGTCATGTTGGCCTATTGTTTCATCAGGTAAAGAACTTACATTGTAGAAACTGTTGCCTGTTGGGGGTTGTATTCTGAATTAGTCTTGGCGTAATTAAGTTTGATAGCAATTCCTGGAGGTCAGCTGGGCCAACACAGCCTCTTTGGGCTCTTGTCTTTGGCATGATTACTCTCATGATGAATTTTCCTCAGGTCTAACTGGATTTTTCCCTTGTGTCTGTTACTTCCTATCCATTCACACAGAGCACCTTTGAGAAGAGTACAGCTTTGTTCTTCATCTCCTCTCTATCTTTCTGTTACATAGCTGATGGCAGAAATTGGTTTTCCTCTCAGTTGTACTTGAGATTGTACAACTCCAGTTTCTTCTGTATGCCCTTGTACACTATCTGCCTGTTGCATTGCCCCGACCACCAGGGTAACCCTTCTCTGTTACCATCTGCAGTCTTTGCTGTCAGCAACACTCAAGTGGGCTTCCAGATTGAGATTGCTTTTCATTATATTTTTACTTTTTCAGAACTTAATAAACTTAATCCACATTTATACAACAGCATATTGCATTTATTCTCATTGAACTATTGATTCATAATGATGGCTCAAACTCTTGATCTTTGCACTATCTCTAGAGAGGCTGCCTTCGTAGTATTACCATGCTTTAGCTCACATGTCAGGAAATCTGTGCTGTGTTTTGACTTGTTGTCAGCTTATGTTTTGATTTCAGCTTTAAATATTACTGGCTGTTTAATCTGATGTTAAAATTCCTTTTTTTAGTTATCACAGTGCTTTTTTGCCCCTCTTGTTTTAATGATATGCAACCTTTTTAAAAAAAAGGTAATGCTTCAAACGTCTACCTACACTGTGGAAAGATCTTTATGATCCTTAAGTTGATGAAATCTGACTGTAGAACTGTTTAAAATCAAACACAAAAATACTTTCAACAAGTATTTTTCAGCAAAGAACAGTGCCAATACAGTGTTTTTCCTCAAGTTAATTACGTGAAAGGGTTTGCTTTAGGTCATTTTTTGCTTGACTGGGAGACAAAAGGATGGTGAATATTTGTGCTTATGGAAGTGCACTGCAATTGGCATTAACCAGAAATATACGTAACTCTCAAGTAAACATTTCAATTAGATACTGAAGCTTTGGTTAAAGAGAAAGGTTAGGCACAAAGTGAGGTGTCCTTCTGGATGCAATACTGAGCATAAGCTTATAGCTTAGTATGGACAATACTGAAATGTTTTATTGAATAGAAAGGATTAAGGGTACTAAGAAGTAGGATTTTCTTTTCGTATGAGTAAATGTCCACACTCTGCAGAAAAAAAGATGCATGCAATTTATAAAGTAAAATATGACCAAAGGTCTTCAAGGGGGAAGATAAGATGCTTTCTAATATAGAATGCAGACGTCTGCATACAGTAATATACAAATACTGAAGGGATATGTTATTTGCTGGAAATGACCTTTAAATTTTCTTCTGCTATATATTTTATTGATTTCCTGAAGCACCTCTTTCTTACTTAAATAGAGAAATGGGAACAGTAGATTACACTGACAAAGGACTTTGTTCATTTGGTAATTCTTGTCACTTTTTTGTTATAAATCAGAAAATAAAGGACTGCATAATGACAAAGACTGCACAGCAACTTGAAAAAATATGGCTAAATTTTTTCCTGATGATTTCATGCCAAATTAATTTACTGCTGTTGCCAGCAGAGAGAATAGACTGGGTGTGTCACTTTTATTAAAGAGAAGAAAAGATGGAAAGAAGTCTATATTTAAAAGACAGACACTTTCAAGGTTTTGTTTTTTTTTTTTAATCTTTTCAGTGAAAAGAAATACACAACTACAGCATAACTGTAACTTGTGTAAGGGGCTGCTTGGTTTAATTAACATCAGTACACTGGCAATATTGCAAGGCTCCCTCCATATCACAGAGATAAGCACATCTCAGTTTTTCACATCTTCCATGCTTGACCTAAGCAAACATCCCTTTGAATTCAGAACAGGTCACTTGTGCAATTGTAATATCTGCAGCATCCCATATGACCTAATGGAATAAGACCTGTTAAGCAATTGTCTGGGACTGAGGTATGTCAGCAGAGACACTCCACTCAGGGCTCACCTATTCTGGGAACCCAGTGTCTGTATTTTCAGCTATGAAATTCCTGAGCTCTTTACTGTGATCACACAGGGAGAAATAGCAGTGTGGTTCTGCAGGTACTACTCTGGCCACTATTCTCATGAGAAAACCACATCCTTTGTTTAGCTCAAACGCTGTCCTCAACATATTTTAAGAGGGATATTGAATCTTGAGGACAGCTAAGGCTGTATTTGGCCTCTGAAAATACCTCTGTTTCTTGACTGAACATGCGTAACTGACCTTCACAAGGCAATGGTGGTAACTTGTTCAGGTTTGCCAATGTCAGAGTTTTTCTAGGTTTGCCAGTTGAATGTCTATTAGAAGCTGAATTGCCACTGAAATGCATTCAGTTATGGCTTGGATGGTAGGGGTACATGATGATATGTAAGAAATCTTTTGAGTTCATTGTGGTCCCAAATATTTGGTAACCTCTGAATTAGAAGCTGATTTCTCAGGGTTGTTGTTTGTGCTCTACTTTTTTTTGTTGGTCTTGTGTTTATTTATTTACTTATTTATTTTACACTTCACCCTTCTATTATGGAAAATGGCTTGCTGTTGACCGAGCTGCAAAAAAGGGGAAGGGCAAAGGCAGAACGCTAACAAATAATATACTTCCATATGAGCATGAAAATATATTAAATTATTGTTTCACTCATCAGGCAAAACTATTTTTGTGCTACATGCTTTGACAGCTAATTTTTCTCTCCTTTCTGATACCCTTAGGTAATTGTTGGAATCAATTAGATTTAGGCTGAAATCTCCCCAGAAGATAGTTCAGTTACTAAAACCAATGCATAGCCAAATGCATAGATGAAAAGCTCTAGGGATGCATGGCCGTTCCTAATGGAATGATGGTAGAGTGCCTCAATGCTGTGGTAGTGCAAAGGTTGAAGCTGTTTCATCGCATGCTTAGTATATCTGGACTACCACTAGTGAGACTGGCATGAGGACTCTAGTAAAATCTAAAAGTAAAATCTCATGTCTACTTATTCTTCTATGTAGTGTCTCTTCTTGCAGTCAAAACAGAGCCCATGAACAGCAGTGAAACAACAACAACAACTGGAGATGGATCGCTTGACACTTTTACTGGGTCAGGTAAAGCCATAATAAGATCACATATTGCTAGATACACATTAATATAGCATTTAATAACCTTCGCTAATGAGCATTGCACTGCATGGAAGTGATCTTTTAGAAGCCACAATGTAGTAACATTTTAATACCAAATAATAATTGTAACTTTTTTTCATTTCTATTAAAAAATGCACTTTTCATGAGCTACAATCATAAAAAAAGTTTTAATGATGACTAAGACCATTCCTGTATGTTGAAATCTTATAATAATAATGTTATTATTGTATTGTAGCTTTTTCTCAGTGCTGGTCTTATATGATTTAGGAAGAAAAAATGGATTGTATTTCTAAAGGCTGTATTAATTTGTAGAATTTAGAATCTTAAGGGTCGTATTTCAGTGCCAATCTTCTTATTTGTATGAACAGTGTGTTATTTTAAATACTGATTGCCATAAGCTACTTTGTCTCCATGTAAATATTTTAGTTTAAATAATTGTAAATTTAATCAGCTTCTTTAAAAAATGAAACAAACAACAACTTTTAAGTAGATTCCTATAAATTACTAAAAGATGACAAAAAATTAAAGAAAATCTGCCCTCTGAGAGGCTGAATCCTTCTAATAAGAGAGAAGGGAAAATTAATTTCATATCTGAAAATATCAACTCAGTAGCAGCCTGACTGAAATTTTACTGAAGCCAAGAATTGCCATGCTGTGGGTTTTGGTAGACATAGGTAGTCACAACCCATTTAAAATATTCTGGAAATTACAATGTTTCTGCGTAATCAAAATGTTTTAAAAGCAGAGAAACTGAGCGTATGATTCCAGAACTGCTTTTAGGCATCAGTAAATCCAGACATACTCTGAAGTTCATTATTCAGGAAAGTGTTGAAATTTAAGTGTGTGAAGTAAAGGTCCATTGTGAAATGTAAAGCAAGCGTATACTTTTTCTGATTAGTAGGAATGAAAACATTATTCTCATTATGAAAGGAACACCATCAACTTAAAATCTAATAAGATATGTAAGAAAAAAAAAAACTTTTTGCTAAAAATCAGCTGCTTATTTTCCTTTTTTTTTTTTTCCTTTTTTTTTCTTTTTCTCCCTTCTCCCTTCTCCCCCCTCCCATGGCTATTGTTACTCTGTCCTAAAATATTATAAATTATGTTATAAGTGCAGGTCATAAAATGTCTGTCTATATACCAGTTTGGCATTGTTATTGAAATTTTATCAGCTTGTGCCGTGTATTTAAGACACCTGAGCTGGATCCCATGTGTAAAAACATGGCTAAGGCAACATTTTCAGAAAGGAGGTGCCAAAATTGCAGTCCCGTGTTCGTGCTTAGTTACCTAAACAACAGTTTGATTTCACAGGATGCCATTCACTCTTAGCTTCCACTGACTGCACAAGAGATCTCTACACTTTAAAGATTTGGAAAAGGTGCCACCAAAAATGAAAGAATTTGAGCTTTACAGTCTTTTTTGTCCATTAGCTGCCTACATATTCAAATGAAAAATGACCCCAATTCTCATTGTAGACCACAAACTCAAGTATTAAATGAGTATGATGACTCACGGTGGGAAATCAGTAGTCTGCCTGTCAGAGTGATTAGCAGTCTGCATCATTATATGTGAGGCAGAACTGCTTTCTTAACCTGTTGAGCCTTTCACAAAGTGTAAATCCATTACTTGTCTTTTAATATTACTTGCAATTTGGAAAATTTTCAGTTTTGTGGCAGAAATTGTAAAAAACAATATAAACTCACACAAAGTATTCCTCTGACTTTTTAATCTAAGTGATGATTTGGGATGTTTAATGTGTTGCCAAAACCAACAAACACTAACTAATAGAAAGATGACAAATTTTTAGACAAATCAGCTGCAACTGAAAACAATGCTTAGCAAAGCCCAGCAATTAATGTTGTGTTTTCCTAAAAATCACTCGCAGCTTTGTGTTACTCCCATGACAAAGTGTAATGCTAGTACTTTCCTGCTGCTTTCAAACATGTAGCCTGGACGGATAGGTCACTAGGAGGGATAACACCTATACTCTGTCCTGTACAAACAGGTCAGAAGAACTAAAGCAACCTTTGTGAAGTAGAGAAGGACTTAGAAACATTATTAAATATTTTATGAAATAAAATCACATGGTGATGAGGCTCATTTAAAAGTGCCATGTGGAATTTCTCTCCATCATATTCTCCCCATGAAAAGTGATTCCCATGCTCCAAAGGCAGTAAAAACCTGTGATGTGTTCTAGGGCTGAGCGTAAGGCTGAACAAGCTCTTTGTGTGTACAGTAGCCAGCTCTGTTCCTAATGACTAGCTTTAACATAGAAAGTGATGACAGACTGCATGAGTCACACTATAGCAGAGACAGATTAGGCCTTGCAGGTAACTGCGATGAACCCTGATTTTTGACAGAAGAGCAATGCAGCTTTTTGAAACTACTGTCTAACACTTAGGTTTGTTCCATCCTTGGCATCCTGCAATCAGAGGTGCCTTCAAGAAAGCCTTTGTGGTTTTATGATAAATCTGCAAATTTATGCTGAATGTGCCAGCCTCAAGTCACGTTTAAAAAACAAAAACTGAATATACTAAAGAAGAAACCTCACATATCTAGTATTAAGTTGAAAAATAAAACACGGAATTTAGAATGAGAGTGCCACAGAGAGTTGCCACAGTGTCCATGCCCTGGCTGCCATGTGGCTGTCCACGATCAGGGCTTTGGTCTCATCCTTCTGCAGAGTGACACCCTTGGAAAAAGATGTGCCTTTTAGCTCAGGGTGACAAGGTAGTCATACTGTATACCCTCTTCCTCCATCTTTTCCCTCAAAGACTGGCAGTTGGTAATTATTATCAGCACACTCAATTCGAATCTTTGCAATCCTGTAGCAGGCTCTTGTAGGGCTGGATACTTACAGGGTGTGGAGAATTGCAGAACAGTCTTAAATGAGCAATTTTATGCTCCAAGAATTTGCTACAGCTGCTGTATTGTAAATGCATGCATTTTTGCATTTAAATTGCTTAGGATACTGGAATAATTTGGGAACTGTTTATAATTTTAATGGAGTGGAGAGAAACATCTGAAGTTCTTGTCGTCTTTGTTACTTAAAATTTATTACATGCAAAAAGAATATTAAAAAAAAATTCTAAAGGCTATAAAGGCAAGGTTAGGAAACGCCGTCACTACATACCTTTGTCTGGTCCCCTTTTGTGCAGAAATTGAAATTTGCTGTTTAAATGCAATCCTTTTAACCTAATTCTTCACACAGAATTTTCCGGATGATTAATGGAAAAATACAAAATTTTAGTCTGTGATGATTTGATGAGCCCAGCACATGCTATCAGCATGATTTCTGGTTATTTCAGCTCTCTACTGCTATCTTTGCCAGTTGGGCTGACAGGGTAAATAGTGAGCTGGCTGTCACCTTCTTTTCTCTTCTGTGGATCAACATTTGTTAGGTTGGGGATGTGTCCCCAGTGATGTATCAAGCCTCAGCTCTCGCAGACTTTATTGCTGGGAGTGTTCCTTAGAGGGCATAGTTACATCTGCTTTTCTTCTTATCTCTCTCATTTCCTCTTTCTATTCTGTCACATTCATATCTACTGCAACTTTTGCCTCTCAATTTCAGCCAACCCTGGCCAGCAGTCTCTTTTCTTAGCCAGCACCTTCATTCCTCAACCCGTTTCCTACCCCATCCTCAAACTTTGAGCCCAGGAGACTCTTATGCATCTGTTCTCAGGCCTTACTGCCTTTTCTGAAACTCCACCTTCCATGTTTTCCTCCCTGTGGGATTGAGGCTGGAGATGCTGGGACCCTGCGTGGTACAGATCAGCCAGAACTTCTACCTCTGGAGAAAGCGGGTCCATTGAATGGAGAATTTACCTGCCAAGTTCTGAATTGTGATTCTCCAGGGCATGTGCAAAATATGACTATTGTTTTTCAGAAGTGTGCAGCTTGGTGGCTTTTAACTTGAGAAATCAAGGGTATTACACCTGCCCAGAAGAGCAGGTAAAGTTCAATAATGAAATCTCAGAAATACTTGAGTTTTTCAGGGAAGAGACAGTTTTGATTTTCTCATAAATAACACAGTACAATGGTGACTAGCCCATTCTTATAAGTGGCTACAGAAAGCTATGCTTAGAAAGTTATTAAGAAGTTATAAAGTATGTAACATCCTGCCTCTACCACTTCCCCTACTGCTAATCCTCCCTACCAAAGAGAAGTAGGGTTAGGAGAATAATTCTGAAAACAGAGACAACTGTTGAATTCTGATAAACCTCAGAATTACCAATCTGAGCTGGGATTTACGGTATAATTCACTTGTGATACATAGTCATAATATTCTCGTATGCCAGCTCTTGTACCCTGTGTTTCTCAAATATCCCACATCCTAAAATGCAGTGCAAAAACTGATGTAAAAGACTGCCAGAGAAAGAGTGAAAAAGCTATTTAATTGGAATGGCACACAATTTGTTTTTTATTTTCTTATATATATATATATGCAAAAAGAATTTAAAAAACAGGAAGGACAGTTTTTTGCAGAAAAACATTAGTTTCTGATAACTCAAGTGATCTAAATAAACTGTCTTTTGTTTTCTTTCTTTCTTTCTTTCTTTCCTTCCTTCCTTCCTTCCTTCCTTCCTTCCTTCCTTCCTTCCTTCCTTCCTTCCTGCCTGCCTGCCTGCCTCCCTGCCTCCCTCCTTCCCTCCTTCCCCCCCTCTTTTACTCTCTTTCTCTCTTTTTTGGTAGTTTGTGCCTACTGTAGTAGAATGGTAAATGTGCTTTAACCAAATTGATTAATCAAGTGATGTGTCATTCAGCAAACAATAGACAAAAAGTGGAGCAGTATGGTCAAAAAGGATCGGATAAGCTGGTAATGGATCATGAAAATTCCTTGCCCTGGGAATCACCAAGGTCATTCTGTTAGCTATTGTTTGTCTTCAGAAAGGTCACAGTGATAGAACAGGCTAAGACTAATTACTCTTCAGGAGTTAAATAAATAACAACATCCTTTAGGGTTTTACGAGCTATTTCTGTTTTTATATACAGCTATACATTCATCTAACTCTGAGGATATCTTTATGCACACTTAGAAAATAAGTTTAAACCATTGGAAGGCATTCTCAGAGAAGAACATCCAATAATATAATATTAAATTCAGCAGATTTCCCTTGCAGATTATCCCTTAATATCTTTTCAATCAGCAACTCTTTTAGGAGATCTGGTAGCATGTGTTCAAAAAATTATCCATTTCCTCATTTTCAAGCCATTCTCAACTGCACATTTAAAAAAGAAGCTAATGTGTTTGTTGTTGTTTTTCCTACTGTATTTTCCTTTTAAAATCCTACATGTTCTAAATGTGTTTAAAGTAGCCTCAGAAATATGAAGTTCTGCATATGTTCAAAGGAGTAGATCTCAAAGATGTTAATTACACCTAGACGTAGACATATATCATGTTTCATAAAATAGTTAGGAACCTAAACCTATTTGTCACTTATATATTTCTGAAAGTTCATTGCTACTACCATTATGAACAACTCAGGAAGAGGGTACACTTTGAAGTACAACTATGATTGATTAGACTAAAGAAATTCCAGTGCTTCGTTGTGTACTACTTTAATCTTTTGAAAAGTGAATGAGCAGCAGATGGCCTAATAAAGACACTCTGTATGTTTGCCCAGTATGGATTTGCTCTGAAGGGATTGGTTCAACTCTTTAGAGTACATATATTTGGAATACATCTGTCTTAGTCAAGACAGATGGCTAAAGGAAAGAGAAACTTCCAAACACTTGGAATTAATCCAGTGTGAGCACTGCTTTTGAATGAAATTTTAATGGGATATGACTGTTGTTCTGTTAGTTTTCTTGGAAGAATGCAGCTGTTCGTGGTGTAGACATATATAATTTTGATGGCTACTGAACATAACTGTTTATGCTTACTTTTGAAATACAGCTATTTTTGGTAGTGTCTGTGTTCTAATCAGCCTGTTGATAAGGAGAAGTATTCATTTCCTAGTGATCAGTTGGATATCTCTCATCATGTAAGCTAACTGAAACACCTATATGGATCACTATTAATACTATCCAGTATTAAAATTAAACTTGTTAATATGAGACTTTAAAAGTATAGGCATGTTCTTTCAATCCCATGCAATGTGATACTTTAAATCACTAGATTCCTTTTAACTACTTATTTTAATACAACATGCAAATTTGAAAAATCTATTTTGTGTGGATCACGGATCGTGTGTGAATTATATGCCTGTGCAATAAATTCAGAAACAAGCCTGTTAAGCTTAAAACGTTCACAACAACTAAAGAGTTCAGTAAACAATGAATAATCTGGAAATTTGCCAAACGTTTTAGTTTGTGTATTAAGATACTACAGTTGTGGTGACGTATATGTCATGTAAAAGCTGTCCATTTCAATTAGATTTTCTGCTAACGTGACTGCAGTAGTATTTAGACTGGCTATATTCTTCTCATACCGTTTTTAACTGTTGTACTCTTGTTTTCTGTTTTGCAGTAATAACAAGTAGTGGCTATAGCCCAAGATCAGCGCACCAGTACTCTCCGCAGATATATCCTTCCAAGTTAGTGTCTGTACCTACTGTAATCTTGTATAGCGAACTGACCTTGGTTATAGGCAGTTCTGTGGTTTGCTGCAAACATATATTGATCAGCAGAAGAAAGGGAGAGAAAGGAAAATACTTAAACCTCCATAATGAATCCACTACAATTCTATGTCCATTTTTTTTTCCTCTCTCATGGATGCGGAGTAACATCTACTTTGTGCAATACTGTATTGCTGCACAAGAAATATCTTTTGAGTTTCTACACACAGTGGAAGGAAAAAAAAAATAGACTGACATTCTCACACATCAGCATTTTAATAGTGCTGGCATTACATACAGACATATTTTGAGGAAGAGAGTTTATATTTAGAAATCACAATTGCATGTGCAACATGCATACTTAACGGTAAACATGTCATAGACTGTTCCAGTACTAGCATTGCCAAATAGTTCCAAACATTCCAGAATTATGAACCACCCTTTCCTCCTCCAATATTGTAAGATTTAAAATATCAAACAAAGTAAATTAAATTGGATTAGATTCAATCTCTTTCTCTCTCTCTCTCTCTCTCTCTCTCTCTCTCAAAAAAAAAAAAAAAAAAAGGGTTTGTTTATGTATGTATTTTTTCAGAAGCCAGCAGGGTTATTAGGAATAGGAAGTTTCTTCCTTTTTTTAACTTTATGGAAAACACTGAAGATTTTTTTATGAAACTACTGTAATGGGCAGCCTATTGACTTGTTTGACATGTGATGTTGTGCACAAGTATCCTTGATTTCAGTATACCATATATTTATTTCAGTGCTTTTGATACTCTACCTATGTGACTTTGAAATTTGATACAGAGAAAGCATTAAAACTATACCTGATTAGGCTTTTTAAAATTTCTTCACCAAATTTGCATTCGTATCATGTTAGCCAGCATTTATTGATTGAGAAAGTAGGCGTCTAAACTAAAAACATTCTTCCTTATTCCACTTAAAACACATTTTAGCAAACTATATTTTATACATTTGGCCAAATACATTACAAGGTTTAATAGAATTTTTAATTTACTGTAATAATTTATTGGCATCTAAATTAATGAGTAATTCTTTTCTGATAGCAACCGCTGCCAAATGTACTGAACTAATTAGAAAAAAAAAGAAAAAAAAATTAGAATCTGAAATTTAGTCATGGCTTTTAATAGCCAGATTTCAGTAAGTGTAATTCTGCAGAGTATGTTTATTCAGCTCTTGGTCCATAAAATCTTATTTGACTTACAAAACAATCCAAGACAAATGTTTCTCTGTATGTTTTTGCAACTCTGGAGGGCAAAAATTTAAAACTTGATTTTATTCAATTTCCCTATAAAACCCCAGTATTTATAAATTAAAGACCATTTTTATTTCCATTCTATTTCCCAAACATTTAAAGCCCTTCTGGTTAACAAAGTGTTGCTGTTAATATTTTTCATGCTTCTCTCTATGCTTCTCCCACTGAAGCCAGAGGCTAGATATCTGATGAAGCAGAACCATTTATAGAGGGCATGAGGTAGTAACTTCAGTGTTCTCCTCTGTATTTCATTTATTCTTCCAGTCCAAGTTTCCCTGCACTGGATAAATAAGCTTGAGGATTTTTCTGATTTAAGTGTACTGTTCCTATCTCAAAGGGGTTGAATCCATATAAAACTGTTACAGCAGTGGCACAGCTCATCTACAGATGGACACAGAATATTAAGAATTAAATTGTGGTGATGGGACAGCACAGAATTTTCACAGTGCCTTGGGGAATGTGAGATGGAGTTTTTTAGCTTATTTCAGTGGAAGATGGAATAACTCCCATAAGAAGAGGAGTTGGCAGAATAATGAACTGCTTTTGGATACCTTTTTCTTTATTGCTTGAATTAACCTACAAAGTATTTGTTGCCACAGTAATGCTATTTTTCCTGATATTTAGGCCCTATCCACACATTCTTTCTACACCAGCAGCTCAAACAATGTCTGCCTATGCCGGACAAACCCAGTATTCAGGAATGCAGCAACCAGCAGTCTATACAGCCTACTCACAGACAGGACAGCCATACAGCCTACCTACTTACGGTATTTGACCTCTTATTACTTTGTCTTATGTAGATGTAAGATAAATGCTGATGTGAACATTTTTGCTATTTTTTTTTATTTTTATTTTCCCCACTGTGAGAAAGTATTTTAAAGAATCAGTTGAAAATTAATTTCTTATACAGATTTGGGTGTAATGTTGCCAGGCATCAAGACGGAAAGTGGGCTCTCGCAGACACAGTCACCACTGCAGAGTGGGTGCCTCAGTTACAGCCCAGGGTTTTCCACCCCACAGCCAGGCCAAACACCGTATTCTTATCAGATGCCAGGTGAGTAGCCCTTGCTGTTATGTGTCATCTCTCCTTGCTGCTCTTTGTGGTCCCTGTTTCCTCATTACATTTTCAGTTCATGTTTCAGAACTCTAGCAAATGTGGTTGTCATTGGCAGCTACTTTTATCGCTAAAATATAGCTACTTTTTTTAAGTTAGTTTTTCCAACACATGCATATATGTTCATTTTTTATCATCTGCTGATCTAGATCTGGTCATGCAATGCAGTCCCCATCTACACTTTCACTTTTCTATGGAGCAGGACTGGAAGCATTTGTTGTATTTATTGGGGAACACATGTCACTTCCCTTTGTTTACATGTTTTGAGCATGACATCTTCTGATGCTTTTCCCTTTAAAAAAAATAATTTATTACCATTTCTCTTTAATTCATACTTAGTATTTCATTTATTGTGCAATTATTATTTATTTCTTTTTGCTCAATGATACTTTATTTTATCTGGATACTTCTTTATCTTTTAACGCAATATTAAATCTTATAAACATAGTATTAATCATCTGAAGTTGAAAACATGGACAAGCCTCATAACAGATTGATTAAAAACACATAGATCATTTAAATATTCTTAAAAAATAGATTTTTGCTTCATAAGGGAACATTGAAATGTTAGGACTTAGGCAATTAAGGAGAAAGAGAATAACAATATTTGAACGAAAGTGAGACGCTGTAATAAATTGAAAAATGATTTTGTGATCACTGCAACAACTTATTGCAAATAACTTTCTTCTATTGTGGGAAAAAAGAAGGTATGCTTATATGCATGGAAGCAGCATTTCATCTATGCTCATTAGATGTTTTCTTGTTTAAATGGAAAACTAAAAATTGTTTGCTCCTCCAATTCATTAATGTCTTAACATGAAATCCTGTATTTAGAATTATATTTTTATTCAGAAACATGTTCTTGCAATGAATCATATTTTTTAATTTTAGGTTCTAGTTTTACACCATCATCCACTATTTATGCAAACAATTCTGTTTCAAATTCTACGAACTTCAGTAGTTCACAACAGGTACGAATATCAACACTTGTTTGTGCATTAAAAAAATATTTATGTAAATCCAGTGATGGAATGTTATTTCAATTTAGACTTGTTATGCTGAATTGGACTTGCTGTAGTTAAGTACTGTTTTCTGTGGAAAGCATTGAAAATCCGTGTGGATGCCTAGTTGCATCTTTTGGCACCTAAATACTTTATCAATCTCCCTTTAATTGTTTAGTAAATTTTCTCAAGTTAAAAAATCTAGACAAAAAGCTATCAGCTCTTTGCATAAATCACATCATTGCATGCAGAAATATTTAATGAAAACATTACTTCTTCATTTACATAGTTAACTGTTTTTGCTGTTTTAGGATTATCCATCATACACAGCTTTTGGCCAAAACCAGTATGCACAGTATTACTCAGCATCAACATATGGTGCATATATGACCTCAAACAACACGGCCGATGGCACTTCATCATCATCATCAACCTACCAGTTACAGGAATCTCTCCCTGGCCTGACTAGTCAACCAGGTACAGATCTGCATTCAGGTGAAAACAATTTTTACATTTTTTCCCTGTAGTTGTATGAAGCCAAGATCTGTATTTTTGCCTTGATTTTATACTGTTTTAAACTCAAGGACAAAAAAAGCCCTTTTTGTATGCTTATTCAAGAGACCTGTGTAATTTGTTTGTTAGCTAAAACTCCTTGCAGTTTGAGGTTGTTTTCTTTGAAGGAGTAGGTTGAAAAAAGCAATGCAATGGTCTTGTAGTAGTAAATTTTTAATGAAAAATTCAGTCAGTTCTACTGTTACTGACAGTGGGACACTCCACTGTCCACCTCCATATTCAGAAGTGTTACTGTAAATTATTTAAACAAGATGTTGCTTGTCATTTAATCATGCTCCAATCATTCTATCAAGCCACAGTTGCTAATACACAAACTTAGGTTAGTAAGAATAGGGCAATCAGTTAATAGCACATTGCTTTACCGAATAAATAAATAAATAATGGAGTAATTGAAGCTACAAAGAGAAAGCTCCAAGGAGAAATGAGGAGGCTAATTTTGCCTGCCCAACTCTGCCCCCTCGTGCATATGCATTACAACACACTTATATAGTTGTGTTCTTAGGGCATCACTGCTGGATATCTTCATTTTTTCTCCTTATAACTTAGTTCGCAGTCCTCTGCCTGCTCCATTCTCCATTCCTGTCAAGCAAATGCAGATGTTAACAAGTAATATTTTTTTGCATGCTAGACTTGGGAATTTCTAGGTTCCCAAAACTCTCACCTATTTATTTTCTCACTGCAGTAAATAAATTTACGTTTTTGAAATAATGCATAGTACAATATAGACACATGAAAATCTCTTAGGTGAGACACATGAAAATGGCTTAGGTGTGTGATACCCTTAATGTGTGAAAAGAATCTGCTTTTCATGCTCAATTTCATGTATAACTTATATTATTCCAGGAATTTCTTAAAGATCTAGCCCAGTTCTATGATATATTCATGTCATAAATAGCTCACTAAGGCTGGTTATGGCATATATAAGAGAGATCATTGCCAGCTACCTTGCATAACACTGTTGGAGCAATCTTGTGGGGACACTGCCTTCACATGTACAATGTGGTAAAATGTCCGTCTTACCCACAGGCTGTGGTCATTTATCAATAGAGTAACGAACTGGATTTTGAACTAGGGTCTGAAAAGGGAAAGTGTGCTTTTATCATAAAATCAATAAATTGTGTAAATATTCCTAATTCTGATCATAACAACTGAAAAATCTAACTGAAAAGTTAGACAATAAAGCTGTTGTGTTATAATAACAAATTTGTACAAAGAAGGAAGTACTGTGTAGAAGAGTATAGACAAGGCTTCATACTTCATATAATCTGCTTAAATTCACTAAAATCTTTGGCAAGTTTAATGGCATGAGTTGATTTATTTTTTTCTTCCAGCTGTTTTCCTCTGCTAACTTTAATTTAAAAATGTTGTCTATCTATGCATGCACATGTATCTTGGTGGTATGACATGCTATGGGTATGGAGAGATCATAGAATCATAGAACAGTTTGTTTTGGTAAGGACCTTAAAACCGTCTAGTTCTAACCTTCCTGCCATGGGCACCTCCCAGTAAATAAGAACACACAAAGACCTATCCAGCGTGGCCTTAAACACTTCCAGGAATGAAGCAACAAATTCTCTGGCTAATGCACATGCCATTGTTTTTTGGTGAAAATGCAAATTGTCTCAGAGTGGAATTTTAGGAAGAGAATCTAACAGATATCTTAAGTGAAATTCCAACAGTTGCAAAACACTCACGATAGAGCCAACTTATAATCTACATTTAAAAGTATATTCATATCTGATCTTTATTTCAGTCTTATTCTTCTATATTTTTATTTGAGAAAATCAGACAGAATTTTCCCTCTCCCTCTCCCTTCTTTGTCTCTCCCTTCCATTTTCTTAGAAATTCTGTGTTAATGTATTATGTGTTACAGACTCCCTTGGTATCAAATAGCACTGAAAAAAGAAAGGAATCTTACATAGCTTAAGTAGGTTCAAAAATATTGAAGGCTGCACATCTATGAAACAATAAATACTTTTCTTATTTGTGGACTGCTTAATCCACAAACCATTTTTCCTGTTAAGTAGGTTGTGCATCTGAATTTACAAACCTGCCCACTCATTCCTTATTTCTGTCAAGTGTTGAACTGGTCATGAGACCCTTTGCTGAGAGTGCAACACCCACTTTGAGAATACATGGCATGCCTATGCCCTTGTGTGTCACTGTAAAAATAAATTTACATCAGTGGGATGCACTGACTTGAATCAGAGATTCAGTACACACCATGTTTACTTGCTGTCTAGCACTTTCACTGCTCAATCCTAAGAGTTACTTCATGTAAAACATAAGATTAAACAGTTAGCCACTTCACCCTTCTACTATCTTTGCTTGCTGTTAATTCACGTTAACCTCTAATACTCTCCACATATTACAAGGATTTCTTGTAATAACAAAGCTCCATTAGATCAAGATTTCTTTATTTGTTGACCAAGAAAATGAGATGAAAATTGATACTCTCTGCATTACACTCTCTGCTACTCGTAACAAGTGGCAACGCATTATGTTTCTGGGCTTTGCCTCTATTAAAAAAGAGGATTCTTGGCAAATGTTTGGCTTGTTTGAGGTGCTTGTGGACTTACGATGAGAATTAGGAATATTTAACAATTTATTGATTTTATGATCAAAGCACACTCACTAGGCTTCTGGGATCCAGAGACAGCGACACAAATGAAAGTCTCACTGACAAGGAGAAGTGTCAGTGCTCCCTGTCCCAGTGGCTGGAACATTTTCGCCTGGAGGAGGATGCGAACGCACGCAAGCCAGTTGTAGTAGCTTTCCATTCCCATTACACATGTCAGAAGTTGTCATAGAACACTTGTTTTGACCTGTGCCCACACCTCTTTTCTCTTGCTTAAGTGGCACAGCTGTGTTTTAACAAGAAGGAGGGAATGCTTGTTCCAACTACAGGTGGGAAAAAATGGTCTGGATAGGAAGGACCACCTCCGTTTGTAACCGTGGTGTTGTAACTCCCTAACATTTAATTAGAGCTGCTAGAAGGCATGTAAGTCCTCTTGCTGGACCTGAACCAGGATATGAGTATGTGCATGAACATCTGTGATGAAGTGGTCATTCTATGTTCCAGTTTTGACATTTTCCTCTTGTTTTATGAAATCTCAGATGCTGCTCCTACTTCCAGTGAGAGAAAGTTAAGGAGTGGATTTATTAGGCATGTGCTGAATATTGGAAAAGCTAAAAAATTTCAAACATGGCAATAAAATTTCTGTCTAATACGAGCTGCAGTAGGAGCTCTTTATGAGGGGAAGGTTTTCAGTGCTCTTTGGTACTAGAATTTCTCACATTTTTTACATGGCTGAATTTTGAGTAAGTTTTTCTTCTATCAGCATTGACCTGATTTCTAAAGTAAACTGAGAACAAAAAAAAAGCAGCAGACTCCTTTAGTCTGCTGTTGGTAAAAAGCAAATCAAGCAATTAAGCCTACAGTTGTTCAGAAAAACATGCACTACAGACTTCTGCATTCTAAAATAGATGCATACCTTGCATTCAAGTAAGAGACAGCTGCTCATTCTGATTTAGAGATTAGTTAATGAAATAAAGTTGGCTCTAAATATCTAGAACTTAGAAGCTACGGTGATTAGTTACAGTACTGATTAATGGATAATTATGCAATCACAATGAGTGTGCACCCAAGCAGAAGCCTGGGGCAACAGGTAATGGCTAATGTTAAATGAAACTTGAAGTTATTTACTTCAGTGGTTAGATTATTTCAGAGAAAATTTAGAACAGAGTCTTTTTATATTTTATTTTTGGTAGATTAAACATGGTCATTGAGAACAGATGTTCTAGTACATTACTATGGATTATTTTAGAAATGAATCTTTGTTGTAAAATGTTGAAATTTTCTAGATCTGAAAAAGTTGTGATAAGAATATTAACATATATGTTCAATTATATAGTTTTTGTCTTTTCATAGCTGGAATTTGCTTTGGGATTTTTTTTTTTTTTCACTCTGTTAGGGAATCTGAGAAATTATATTATTGTACATACATCTTGCATACTCAGAACTTCTTTTGAAGAATAGGCTTTTGATGCTTAAGTAATGTGATTCTGAAACATCGTTTTTCTACATTTTTACATTTAGGAAATTAAATTCTGCTGTTCTATTTATGGGGAAAGAACTAAAGTAATGTGACCTTATTGATCTCTCCAGTGCCTGCAGTGTCCTTACTGACATCAACACCATGCTGGGAATAGAAATGATTAGTCAACAAGAACTCTTGCTCTCAGTTGTAAAGGGACAAAATAAAAACACCAACAGAACATTTTTCAATAGACACTATTATTGCTGCTTAATTTCTCTAACATTTTTTCCCTGATAAGAATTTCAGCTGAAAGAGAAAATTCTACAGAATATATATAATGCTTTTTCCAAATCAGGACAGATGTATCTTGAAGATTGTATCTGGAATAAATTCTCAAACTACTTTTCTGAAGATCTCTTCTTAGTTGTTGCCTGAAAGTTTGGCTGTATTCTGTACAAGCAGAGACACAGATTGATATTGCAACACTGAAGTCATCATGATATAGTTTGAGAACAGAATAGTACTATCTACTTCCACGTGATAGCAGAATAACTTGAGTACTTTTCCAGGAAGGGAGAGAGAAAAAGATTTGATTTCCTCCTGTTTCGTGAAGAATCCACTGTCTTCCACTTGGGTGTGCAGGGATTAGGATTGTGAGTCATGAAAGCAAATTTGTCTTTATACTTTATATATATCAGTCATTCATTTAAATGAAAAATGTGCCTTGGAAAGGGCAATGGATTTCAGATATATTCTTCTAGGTATGAGGACTAATCCAAAAGAAATCTATTTTATTATGTTGGCCCACAAATTAGGGGATGTTGGTGGTATGACAGTAGAGATTGAATCTTCCCACCAATATTCATTTACATTTTGCTGCAATGTGACCAATGGTAGCAGAGGGGCAGCATGACAGAATGACATCCAACATGGAAGTGCATATGAAGCAAAAGCGTACAATTGAATTCCTCAAAAAATGTAATCAATCCACATTCATTGATGACTGCTGAACATTTATGGATACTAAAGTGTGGATGTGAGCACAGTGAGGTAGCAGGTGGTATGTTTCAGCCGTGGCAAGAGTGACATGAAAGATAAGCCATTTTCTGGACCGCCAGATGTGACACCATGAAATTAATAGCATCTTGACCAGCTCATCTGTGCACATCAGTGGATTATGACCAGAGAACTGTGTACAGAGCTGAATATCAGCTTGAATGTATTTGAAACAATGGTGACAGAATTGAAACATTGCTAAGTTTGCACCATGTGGGATCCAGAAATGCTCACACAGGAACAGAAAAAACACTATATGCAAGTTTATCAGGACCTATTTAACCAGTACAGTGCTGAAGGTGACAGTTTCCTGATCACATCATTACCAGTGACAACTCTGGGTGTCACCACTATGAGCCAGAGTCTGAACAGCAGTCCATGGAGTAGAGAGTGATACATGAATTTAAGACACAGCCCTCAGTGGGTAGTGATGTGTACTGTCTTTTGGGTTGAGAAAGGGATGACCAGTCTGGATTTTTTGTAATTTATACAAATGATTAACTTCGATTGCTACATTTGGATGAAGGGCCTGGAGCATCTCCCTTATGAGGAAAGGCTGAGTAACCTGGATCTGTTCAGCCTGGAAAAAAAGAAGTCTGATGGGGGATTTGATTAAAGTTCGTAAATATCTAAGGGAAGGTGGGAGACAAATGAATGAGGCCAGACACTTCTCAGTGGTGTTTAGTGATAGGACAAGGAGCAATGGCCTAAAATTAGAACATAGGAAGTTCTATATATACATGTGGAGGAACTTCTTTATGATAAGGGTGACAGAGCACTGGAAGAGGTTGCCCAGAGAGGTTGCTGAGTCCCTTCGTTAGAGATATTCTAGACCTACCTGGACACCAACCTGTGCAACCTATTGCAGGGAGTCAGCTTTATGTGGGGAGTTGGTCTCAATGATCTCTTGATCCATTCCAACCTCTACAGTACTGTGATTCTGCGACACTGACTAAGCTGAAGGATCAAACTCCCAGAGTCAAGCCAGAGAAGAAAACAACTTTTCTCTTGCAACACAATAATGCCAGGTCTCAAGCCAGTTTGAAGACGGTGGAGTACGTTGCCAATCTTGGCTGGACTGTCCTACCACACCCAGCGCATAGTCAGGATTTGGTGCCTGATTTCCACATGTTTGGGCCAATGAAAGATGGATTTCATGGGCTACATTTTCCTGACAACATTGTATAGCATCTTTGAAACAGAAGGTCACCTTCACTGGTGGAGGTTTTTATGAGTGCAGCATGCAAACTCTTATTCAACACTGGAGAAAGTTCAAAACTAATGGTGGTGACTATGCTGAAAAACAGTTTTTTGTAACTGACAATTTGTTCCATCAAATATTGTTATTGTGCTCTTCATAGCTGTTGTTTTTCCATGAAAATAAGTAGGAGGCATTACTTTTGGAGCAACCTGTGTATATATCATAACCTTGGGCTTGGGAACTAATTTTCTTCTTGTTCTCCACTGTCCTTTAATCTTGAATTCCTTCCTCGTAAGAGCTAGAGTTCTTGCTCAGGAATGTGACATTATGGTCTTAAATCTTACTCTTCCAAGAAATACAAGAGTACTTTATTCTAATCAAGATATATAAGTATATCTTCCTAGTATATTTGTTTTAATAATCTTCTATGTGGTTCACTGTGAGGTATAAATAAATGATGGAAGAGGTGAAGAATTTAACTATTGAATTATGTTGCACACAGATTCTCAGTTGAGATTGCAGTCTTTTTTTCTTCTTACATCCTTCTAGACTAGACTTGTTTTCTTCTTTGTTCGGGAGGGAAAATAAAGTGAATGACTCTGAAAACTGTAGAAACATTTAATCATTTAAGTTGGAAGGGACTTCTGCATACCTTTTGGTTGAGCCAACTTAGATCACACTGCTCGGGACTGTGTCCAGTTGAGTATCTCTGAGGATGGAGAACACATAAGCTCTGTGGGTCTGTCCCTGAGTCTGACTACTCTCTCTGAGAATAACTTTTTCTTGTACCTAAGAGGAATATTGGCTAATGTAATTTCTATATTTTCCTTCTTGTCCTTTCTCTATATAGCTCTCTGAAAAGTTCCTCTGCCTTTCCTCCTGTGTGCTGCAGTTCTTCAGCTGTCTTGGTGGCCCTCACCTGGGCTAACTACAGTTTGTTAATCTCTCTGTTATACTTGGGATCCTAAAACTTGTCATTTTTCTAGACATGGTTTTGCACATTCTTAATGGAGCAGAAAAATCACTCTTCTTGATCAACTGGCCACTTCCTCTGTTGCCTGGTGGACCTTGGTGATTTTAATAACGTTTTTTACTAAAAATGTGTACTGTTCAGATCTGATGTCTGACAGATGATTCTTGGGAAATTTATTTTGCAGAGAAGTGAATATCAGACAGTATCTGATAATTACAGAAGGATGATCATACCACAGCAAATATGACTTTATACTTTTTCTGATAGTAACTGGAATATTGCATTTAATAGTGTGACTTTTCTCTGCCAATTTATGTGCAGTGGCAAAGTAGGAAAAAAAAAGTCTACTAAATAGAAGGTGACATGGGAGGAGGAGATAAAACAGTCCTAATAACCTGGTAGGTGGATGAGTACCAGAGGGTGTTCTGGTAAAAGCAACACAGGACTTGGAAATAACTCCAGCTGAACTCTGAACATGGGAAATGAACTACTTTAATTAAAAGCAAATTTATGTTTTGGTAACTCTTTAGTATGATTTCTGAAATACATCTTCCTTGGATCTGTGAATATTTTGCATGTGCTTATGCATATTTATGTATACGTCTGCACATATCTGCAACATCTCTGCTAACGTTTATAATATTTCCTTTGCAATGTCAAAAGTGTTCACTGCATCTGTAGATTCCTTTTACATGGGAAAAATTGCACATCACTCATTTCATGCAACCAATTTAGGTGCATCCTTACACTGAGTTTGCGTACAGATATGTCTAGCTTTGGAAAAACAGAGTTTATTATTGAAAAATCTAGCACTAATTTTACCACAAATGGTTGACTTTACAGGGGAGTTTGACACAGTGCAGAGCCCCTCCACGCCAATCAAAGATCTTGATGAGAGAACATGTAGGAGTTCTGGGTCAAAGTCTCGGGGTAGAGGGCGGAAGAATAATCCATCACCCCCTCCGGACAGTGACTTGGAGGTATGCCTGTAGTAATTGATGAATGGTAATGTGGAGGTTTCTTCTGATGAAAAGTAAATTCTGAAAAGTACAGCTGTGGAAATAGCTTAAGGCAATTTAGAAAACATCATGCACTCCATGTCAGTAACTGAATATAACAGCCATTAGTGTCTACTTTAACATACACATGCAATGAGACATTACTGTTGTCTATGACAAAGCTAGAAAAGTAAATGTGATTCAGCTTTTCACATTTTAGCTCTAAGATTGTGGATCTTTCAGTTTTTTGTGCAATAGAAACACAGAACTGTGTATTCAAAAAGCTGTTTCTTTTAGTTTTTTTTTTGTTTTTTTGCTTGTTTGTTTTTAAATAGGAGATATCAAATATGTTGCTCAGTGTTACTATGTTTATTTAAGAATACAGTACAAAAATATACAGGATCATCTGGCCATAGCGTTTCAATACTTATCCACAGGTCTCTAAGCTGTAGCAAATGTCAGTGGATTTCAGTGAGGCAGCTGACACCAGTGAAGTTATGGTATACTTAAGTATGTGCAATTTTGATGCGTCAGTGAAGAAATGCATCTGCCTAATACATGGGGTGATGATGTAAAACACAGGTGACCTCTTAGCAATGGGTAATTATAGTATTATTGCTCTTGCATTAGCAGCATGCAGCCTTAATGTGACAGGGGGAGAAGGAATCTTGGTGCCCATGTGTGAAGCACTGGCATCAGAGGAAAGTGCTGCCCACCTGTGTGCTGTGCTTCCTGCCACTCACAGCAGGTAGCCCTGGGCAGCCCTGCTGCTGTGTCTTCACAGAACACCCTTGGCACAGCAGAAGACTGACCTTTGCTAGAAGTTTGCTGAGCACACTGCTGCTGCTGTTTGAGCAGCTTAAGCTTTGCAGTCCTTCTGCCTTCTTACCAATAGATGCACATATCCTGTTCTTGCCAGTTTTCAGAGGAAACCTGTTTAGTTAAGGTACAATTAAAGTAAGATGAATTTTAGCTGCCCTGGGTGGGAGGTTAGGGGCATTTTGATGTTATTTATTTACTAATATTGTCTCTACTTCTGTTTTCAGCGTGTATTTGTATGGGATTTGGATGAAACAATCATAGTTTTTCATTCGCTGCTTACAGGATCCTATGCACAAAAGTATGGCAAGGTATGTGATCCATGGATTACTTACTGATTCACTGTAACAAGATGTCTAGGGTGTACACATACATGATTTACACATACATGGTTTAAAAATAGCTTGAGTGAAGGGAGAGGAAAAGCATACAGTGAACCCCATTTTCAGAAGGTTGGTGTGAAAAAGTTAAGGGAAGAAATGAGACACAGAATATAAGCATAGTATATAAAACTAGGCTGAAGCAGATGTTACAAATGAGGGAAGAGTTTATAGAGGAACAAGGATGAGGTTACTGAAGCACATAGGAAGAGATGTTCCACAGACATAATATATTCAATGGGCAACTGAAAACAACTGTCAGTATTTGGATATGTAGAGGAAGAAGTAAGAAATGGGAGCAGTGGGTGAATATACAGCAAAACTGATAAATTAGAAAGAGTAAGACAGCTTAAATGCCAGCTGTAGGTGTTATTCTTTGATGCTCCAGCTTTTTGCATCTTCAGGCCCATGGCTGGCTGTAAGATGAGTAATGGTAGGGAGTGAATCCCTCTCCCAGTTAGTTGTATTCATCCTCTCTTCTGCAAGGTGATCCAAAAGGCACTCAGGTCACAGAGCAGCAAGCAGAAAAGCTGCAGGAAGAGTAAGGGAGAAGAAGGAGGCAGAGAGAGGCTGGCTGCCACAGCCTGCTGGAGCAGATTTACCCTGCTGAGAGAGCAGTGAGCCCCGCTGGCTGCAGGAGGGGCGTGGGGGGAAAACCAGCATGCAGTCGTGGGCTTCCCAGAGAGGCAGAATTAAATTAGAACATTAGGGCAAATGTATGCTAGGGAGGAAAATAGACTGGGATACCAAAAGTTTTCTAGATTCTGTGCCATTCAAATGTAATTAATATAAAGGTATTTCTTAAGGACATATTTATGTCCATGCTATGCCAGAAGTGCTTGTTTAAAGAGCCAAAACGATCTGCTTGACAGAATTCTGTGAGAGAGAGTATATTAGAGAAACACTTTCCACATCCAACCTCCTCAGCCAACTGGCTAGAAATTTCCAAAGCCAGAACCTGTATATTATAACCACTGATGGGCTATGTTTCATGACAGGTCCTCCATGTTTCAAGACAGCTGTTTGTGGTTATTAAAAAAAAAAAAAAAAAAAAAAAGCTTAAGGGGAAGCTCACAGGCCTGGGCAAAAATCTGATTTTCTGAAATCCTAAGATAAGAGTATTTATTCATGTCTTGTGCAGAATATTCCTGCTTATATTGCAGCTTCGTGCTGCCAAATCAGTGTGCATTTCAGTACACTGTCAAAAACTTCTGCTGTTTTTCAAACACTGTAACAACTGTAACTTTTTCAGTACCATTTCTAATTTTTTACTAGTAAATCAAGAGAGAAACCTAGCTGAACGGGAACATTTGTATCACTTGTGAGTGCAGCTGATAGACTGCCTCAGCACTTGCAGCAATGATGTCATTTCTTTCATCCCCTCCTCATGTGAATGTGCCCATAGGACGTTTCTGTCTTGTAACGCCTCACATGCTATGTAAGCAAAGACTGATTAAACTAGTACATAGTTTTAAGAATAAGAGTAGATCTTTTATTTTTAATTCACAGGCACTTACAGGTAACTTTGTAAACTGTTTTAGAGGTAGCTACAGAAGTGTAATTCCTCTTGGTTTCTCACTTTGCTATGAGTGTATTTGGGAATATCCCAGTATCACTGTTTTTTAAGAATCACAGAATCACAGAATCACAGAATTGTAGGGGTTGGAAGGGACCTCCAGAGATCATCGAGTCCAACCCCCCTGCCAAAGCAGGTTCCCTACAGCAGGTCGCACAGGTAGGCATCCAGGCAGGTCTTGAACATCTCCAGAGAAGGAGACTCCACCACCTCCCTGGGCAGCCTGTTCCAGTGCTCCGTCACCTCACTGTAAAGAAGTTCTTGCGCACATTTGTGCGGAACTTCCTATGCTGCAGTTTCCAGCCGTTTCCCCTTGTCCTGTCTCCACTCACCACTGAAAACAGTCTGGCCTCGCCATTCTGCCCCCCACACCTTAGATATTTATAGACCTGGATCAGATCCCCTCTCAGTCTCCTTTTCTCAAGGCTGAACAGACCCAGTTCACTCAGCCTTTCCTCGTAGGAGAGATGCTCCAGGCCCTTCACCATCTTCGTGGCCCTCCGCTGGACTCTTTCCAAGAGATCCCTGTCTTTTTTGTACTGGGGAGCCCAGAACTGGACGCAGTACTCCAGATGAGGTCTTACCAGGGCAGAGTAGAGGGGGAGGATCACCTCCTTCGACCTGCTGGACACGCTCTTTTTAATGCACCCCAGTAAGCCATTGGCCTTTTTGGCCACAAGGGCACACTGCTGGCTCATGGCCAACCTGTCATCCACCAGGACACCCAGGTCCCTCTCCGCAGAGCTCCCCTCCAGCAGGTCATCCCCCAACCTGTACTGGTGCATGGAATTATTCCTCCCCAACTCCTCTGTTACAAGAGGAAATAGTTTCAAACTTAATGAGAATAGATTTAGGTGGGATGTAAGGTAGAAGTATTTTGCAGTGAGGGTGGTGAGGCACTGACCAGGTTGCCCAGAGGGGTGGTGGATGCCCCATCTTTGGAGACATTCAAGGCAGGCTGAAGGGGGCTCTGAGCAACCTGATTTAGCTATGCATATCCCTATTCATTGCAGGAGAGTTGGACTAGATGAGCTTTCAATGTCCCTTCCAACTCTAAGGATTCTATGATTCTATAATTCTATAATTGACACTCCATAAATAGTCCTTAGAAACAGTAATGGCATATTAACTGCCAGTAGTATTGACAGCAAATAAAATTGGCTTGTATAACCCATGAAAAACTCAAGGGCAAGTTAAATTAATGTAGTTTTACTGCTGAGACCAACATTAGTAAAGAACTGTCACAAATAACCATGTAATGATAAGCAACATCCATACAAGCTGGGAAATGTACTCATTTCCAAAGACTGTAAAAGAAAAATAGCAGACTTTATGTTTGCTTTTTTTCCCCTACAGTAACTACCTTCAACATATTTATAAAGAACTTATTAGGAAAATACGTTGCAATATGTATGTTGCTGACTGCAACAATAGATGAGGGCAGTAAGAAAGGGAATACAGAGAGAGCTTACCCTTAGTAGGCGTTAGCTTTCACATGTCACAGCAGTGTTGCCTAAAGCTGAGATGTGTCTGAGCCTAAGTGCCTATGAGTTAGTTGTGGGAGACGGGAAAGACAGCACAGCTGGACCTCAGTCAGCTCCTGGTGCATGACCCTGGCAGATACGGCCCTTATCTTTTCTGTGTGTGAGGTTCATCCATAAACAAGGTCTTAGTCCACACTGATGTCTGGAGTGTTATGAGAATGAGATTGCTATGAAGATAAATTGTCCGTGAATTATGAGGTTCTCAGTGGAAGTCTTGTGATCACACTGGTCTTTCAGTAAGTGCTGGAGGAGCAGTTATTCCTACAGGGTGCCATAAAATGCTGATTATTTGTTCTCTGTTTTATTTAATAATAATAAAAAAAGGTATAATGTCATACAGGTACACAGCTGTGCATATGTATTTTTTTCTATCTGTATTTTGTGTAACTTGATCAATTTACTCCCAAATGAGAAACAACAAAAACAAACAAACAAAAATAACACTGATTTTCACCTTTCTCTGTATTTAAAAATTCAAAATGAGATTAGTTAGTCTTTAATGGAAACATTGCTTTAAAGGGAAGGTATCTGTTTATACCAAGTATGCTCACTTTTACTTTCAGACATTGAAATGCTGTATTTAGAACCATTGCAAATACATAGACAGGCAAAGATATTTGCCTTCAGTTCTCTATCATCTATTTCTTGACATGTAAGCTTTCATTCTCATTTTTCAGTAGCTGTTTAACTTTACAGTGAGTGGGCAAAACAAAAATATTAAAAAATGAGTATTTTAGTCTCCGCTCCACGCATTTCTGTCTGTGCATGGAGTGCAATATGTGGTGAGGGCTGTCATGCTGTTATAGCCAAAGGGAGAGACCAGGAAGCTGCTGTCTTTTACCTATGCACCAATAGAGTATAACGTTGAACTCCACTGAAGGGGGATAGATTTGGCCAGAGGCTGTTCTATGTATCACTTTAAAATATTAAGATATAAAACCTATTCAGAGAACAATTCTCTGGCTGTTTTCTCTCTCTGGAGTCCCACTTGACTTTTGGTTAGTTTATCAGACTAGGTCCTAGGTAATGAAAGAAGAGAATACTTGCATACTATACCTCTGTTAGTTTTCAGGACAACTTTGCTACTTTCCAGCGGTAAAAAGTAGCTCTCAGTGTTCATCTCATTTGCTCATCTGCTTTGTACTTTATAAAACTGGTACATTTCTATTTTTAATTACTTACTGCAGTAGTAAATCATGAACATTGGCATTTGAGCTTATATGTGTGGCTGATGATGGTTTTCGCAGCTGAGCACCAGTTGGCAGATACACTCTTCTACAATGCTGAACTCTTAAGCAAGGATTTGTTGATGTGACAGGACATGTGTTAGATGTCGTCATCTATTAAAGTTTATGAGGTACATTCTTATTCCCTGTGAACAGTGTGTATTCTTTGTTCTATTATATTCCAGTTAGTCTTGCTGACTTACAGCTGATTAAGCAGGAGTTTTTCTTCCTTGGAGCATGTATATTTCATTCATTTCCTCCAGGTCAAACCAGAGGTCAAGGATGCCCAGATAAATGCCATGACTTAAAGTGTAACTGGTTAAAAAAGTGTGAAAGATGCCCATTGCCCTTAGGAGGGTGAGAATATGACCACCAAGTGCAAATATCACAACAAAACCACATTTGCTGATCGCATTGTGACATTTTGATAGAATTGCTAATGAAATAAAGTTGCCAGGGAGGCCACATTAACCTTGTAGACTTCTATGGAATGAGCTAAGAGGTTTTTTATTGCTCATTCTCTGCTTGTCCAGGCGTTAAACAGAAGAAGGTTGTCACCATTAGTACACATTATGACACACTCAAGTACACTCATAAACATGCTTTCGTCTCTCTATATTAATCATGTATCTCTCATGACTTCCAGTTGTGCTCTCCATTCACTCCCTCATTGTCTGAGACCTCTGAGTCCATTTTCCTACTGCCTTCTGGAGAGCACGGAACAGAAACTCCTTGTGGAGTACGTGAGTCTTCCTTCATCAGCGACCAGATATGATTATTAAGAGATGTATTCTCTTCCTCTGTTACCACCTACATGAAACTCCCCTGGGGATGAGCGTCCCCTATAGGACTTTGAGACCTGAACTTAAATCTGAGATTATTATGTAATGTTAAGGAAGAGTCTTTTAGCTAAAAATATCAGAATTTAACTTAAGCATTTCCACTTTTTCCAGAGGTCGCTTCTGTTGTCTGTTCAGGACAGCCATCCATTGAAAATCTATTCTTGTAATATTATTCACATGTTTTGCTTGTTTGCTTGCTTGCTTATTTTTAAGGCTTCTTGCGTACAAATTCATGCTAAAATGAATCTACCTGACTATTTACCAATTTCTTATCCAAGGATTTGTGTAAAAGTTTAGTGTTTTTGCATTTTTTTCAACAAGAAACAAAATTATTCTGAACATTTTGTGCTAAAAGCAGACCTTCCAACATAATATTAAACAGTTTTCTTCTACTAATGGCCACTGAGCATTTGGGTCTTTATTCAAGCTACTTTTCTCTTGAACAAAACACATAAATATTGGGTCTCCCAGGATATTTTTACCTACTCTCCCAAAAGACATTCCGGTGGATGGACCTGTCTAGTGGAGAAGTCCACAGACAGTCTGGCTCCAGTTTAGAGCCTTCATACTAACATAACTGAAGTAATTTGCATTTTGGTAGACAGAGGTGCTGTAACTGGTCATTTCCTTTGCATGCTAGTGATATCTGACTGAAATCATGCCTCTGACAGCCAAAAAATTGTGTTTCTTTATTCTCTAAATTATCTGGGGAAAACTTCCAGGCTTTATTATTATTATTATTATTGTTACTGTTATTTCCGCTTTTGTGTATGCTTTGTGCAGAAGCAACATTTTGGCAAAAGTTCAGTCTGCCTTTTATTCAGTTTCTCAATTTGTTGTGCTTAAATCTCTACTGGCTGCACATTTCTCTCTTTCTTTTCAACTCTTATTTCTTCGTGCTACTTTGAGTTGAAAGACAGTAAAATAAAGATTGGGATGTTCTTCAAAAATCACAAGATCCTGACGAATTTGCTTCTTCTATTTTTTATATTTGAAGGGGTGGACTTACATGGCAAGAGATAGAAATTGATGTATGATTCTTGTTAAATGGTTGCAGTGAATGTTTGGGCAAATTTATCAATTGAGACTTCAATTCCAATTACTCTTCTCAGCAGTTGTTGCTGGGAGATCCCAGACTGATCTCATGCTACGCTGTAATGGAATCTCTTTGCTTTATTTTATTTTACATACAGTACCTAGCAATATCCTCCACATGCTTTTTTCAAAACAGAAATGTAGGAAATCTCATTTTAACAGTAATAAAGTTAGGCATAGTTGGTTACAAAAATGCTACTAATGAGAAAATCATGAATGCTATGTTACATTTATGTCTCAACTATACTGGGCAAGGCAGGAAATTGTGATACATATTTGGTAGTTTCTATAAAAATAAATTGGATTATAATGGAATATGTTATAGCATATTTCCGCATTTCAGTCCACTTCTACCCAGGAAGGGGAAAAAAGAGACTGAGAATCAAAAGTCTAAGATTCCAGTCTTGGAAGAACTCCAGTGAATACCTTAACTCACATAAATAATAATGAATTACCACCTGTGCATAAAGTTATGCACATGCCTTACTGTTCATAGGATTGAGGTTAAAAAACATTGCAAAACTTCTTTATTATATTGTATTTAAGGACAAGAACATAATTTTCTGTGCAGAGAAAAAAAATGTAAGAGAAAGGAGAGAGAAACATATGTTTATACGTGATGACATTTTGATAAAAGCATTATGACTTGATGAGGAATCTCATGAGTCCAGACTATTTTTGTGATTTGTGTTCTAAGTATCTTACATGAGTTTTTGCAAATCTGTTAATGTGCATACTTTAATCATCCCATTGGATAACTGACCTTTACGTTTGCTGCTGCCCTCACCCACATGGCTTTCAAATCTGTGGAATATGACTGCAGTAGACATAGGGGATTAAGTTATGTTACTAGGCACTGCATTTAGTTTTACTTCTGAAAGGTAGTCTAGACCAGTACAAAGGTCAGCAAAGAAATATTTCCTTTCACTGCCTGAGAATTAGATCTAACTTTGGATCATTACAATTTCTTACACACTATTCTCCTCTTCAAGTCTGACTTTTTCATGAGCAAGGGTCAAAATATGTCTATGTTTCAGATTTTGCCATTAGTTTTTATGTGCTTCAGGGCAGAAGCCATCTTTTATTCTGTCTTGGAGTAATGGGCGTCTGATCCTGATTGGGAAGACTTTGATCCTAATACTTAGAAATGATCGTTTGAAATTTTGAGTATTGGGATTTTATTGTTTTTGTCAGATAAGAACATATGGGTAAAATTTTAAACCTGTGAACTCAAAGCATGTAACAAAATATTTCTAAAGACTCACTACTGGCAATCAATTTAAGGTATGAAATTTAGGTTTTGTTTCTTAATGAAATGAGAAATCATATTCACTTTAGAAAACCATTGTTGTATCTTAAGCATACAAAAGTTATCTGAACCTGAAAAGTGCAAGAGTTAATTAAAGCAGTGGAATAACTAATTACCAGCTGTCAGCAAGTCATCAAAAACTATACTGCATGTGTTCTTATCCTTAAGCGTAAGACAGTGTAACTTGCATTACCCTCTTTCCTAGCTAGCCAAGCAAAGTCAAATTAATTACCTTATGTTTGCTGCATGCTGAAGGCTCCCAGAGAAACCGTTATTTCAGACCAGGAAAATGGTGGTATATTGCTAATATTGTGTGATTTGATACTGTGAAAACTGACCTACAACCAGATAAAAATATTTTGAATGACTCCCATCTGGGGGTAGGAATCCTGTATCTCATAACAAATGAAGGAATGATCTGTAACAATCAAATTTGCATATGCTTTCCCTCCACTTTGGACCACCTAAGGAATTGTGCCATAGATTGTAGATGCACTGAAGAACATGTAGAAGAACACTTGCAGGCACTTTGCAGAATACCTGCAATAAAATCATAATGGAGATCCAGGAAATTCATCAGTACCTGCACAGAAGAAGAGTAAATGTTGAGAATGGAAAGGTTTGTGGATGAATACTGGAGCAGTAGCAAGTATGGGAAAGAACTGATACATATAGGCATAAGGATAGGTAAAGCAGTGATAATTTATGTAAAGTGAAATTTAGTTTGGAAAAATGAGCGAGGGTTCAGATGCAGACTGCCTTCTATATTTTTCTGGAGTAAAAATATCAGAAATTGAAAAGACCTTGTAAATCATAATTTCCTATTGAAGTGTAAGGATAATCACTTACAAAAAAATAATTTGGTAGAGATTGATACCTTTCCTAGTCCAGTTTAACATGACCTTGATGAGGACTCCTAGGTATCCAAAAATTGGAAGATAAACGAAGCAATCAGAGGAATTGTGCAGTGGGCCAGGTAGCACATGGAGTAATTTGTTCTAGCCTCTGCTCTTGGTAGTGTGTGGGCTCAAAAAAGTTAGTTATTGCTCCCTGGCTGTTTTTTTTTTTTTCTTCCTACAAATTGACAGTCAAGATAATTGCATATTTTTATAAAAGATTCAGGGATGAAAAATGTAGTATATTCTTATTATAATAAATATTATTCTCCTTACAGATGTAATTTGTGAGACATATCTTCCCTGTTTACAGCCTTATTTTTTCAGCTTTCCATAAGGCTACCAAATTTTCCCCTTTGACATAGTTTAGCCAGTTTACAAATCCCTCGACTTTCTAGGAAGTTGTTGTTTCAACATGCCTAGCTCTCCAAATATTCTCACACACATTCAGCAAATTCTTCCTATAGTGTTATATTAAAATAGCTTAATGCTGAAATAATTTTAGAGAAAGAAAATTGTTGCAGTGTAAATTTTTCAAAATAGTTTGTATACAACAAATTTTGAAGTAAGTGTGATATAACTTAAAGGTATGTAAATAGCTAATCTGACTTTCTGTTTTTTAAGGATCCACCAATGGCGGTGACCCTTGGACTGCGAATGGAAGAAATGATTTTTAATCTTGCTGATACGCATTTATTTTTTAATGATTTAGAGGTAAGAATCAAAGGAACATAAACACTGTTACACCTGGGGTGTCAACACAGTGGTTTTACTGTGCATTAATGTTTATTATGTGTGGTGCTATATGCCGTTCCAGAGAATGTCATATGCTAATCATGGAGAGATGTCTGTGAAGTCCTGTGGCAACAGAGTCCTTCCATGAAATTGAGTGAAAGGGGTGATTTGGAAGCTACGCCTTCCTTTCTAAGATAGATCTTTGTCTTAAGGCAGTACTTTCAGTGCCCATGGATTTGGTGTTGTCTGCTATGATTTCCAGGAGAGTGATGTATGTGTCTCCCATTCTTTCTCTTGAAATTCTCTGTATTGGCTTTGAGTTGGTGGCATCATCTCAACCAAGCGACTTCATTCTTCTCTTTACGTTCGCAAGTAGCTGTTTGGCTGCATGTCTGACTTTCTTACTCAAAGTAAGAATATCCTTCATTTACTTCAAAGTCTGCAGAATTAGAGAGGTGTGACTATGGTGGATTTATTCATCAGTGTTGTCTCCAATGCCACACAAACTGAGAACACAGTCTCAGTTTTCTTCTGATCATCACTTCCAAAATCTTGCTGTTACGATAGAGGAGCATATGGGTAGGCCATCTTCTTCTCTTCTCTGTTCCCCAAAGAATACTGTGAATTTCAAGTCAAATATTATAGACAGGAATGGCTCATTCTGAAAAATGCTGAAGTGGTTTATGAAATCTATATCCGTCTCAGTTTCCATATCAACTAACAGAGACACTTTTCTGAACTCTGTTAAAAAGTTTCTTGATTTATTTATTTTTAAGTTTAAAAGACTGAAACTGTTCAGCAAATCAACTCAAATCAGCAAACCAAAACATAAGGGTTGAAGAGAACACAGGGTTATATCAGTCTTCTGAGTCCAAAGACTGAAATCACCATATATGCATATATTTTCATTACACTTTTAGTTACTTTCCCGGTGATTTCATTTATATTCCTATATTCCTTTCAGAGACTAGAAGACTTTCAGTAAGCCATGCTTAATAACATAAGTATTAGTTTGGGTTCTTCCCAACTTCCCTGACTATCCCATGCACTTGATTGACACTTGCCACCAAGTTTCTGGAAGCCTCACATATGTATGAGTGTGGTCAATTCAGACATGGCTTCTGCATATCAAATCCTCTTAACTATCAAATGTTGTAAAAAAGCTTGTGGCTTTTTTTTTTTTTTTTTTTTAAATCTTTTTCTTATTTCTTTTCCTTCCAGATAAAAGGGGAAAATCTAGAAAGAAGTTTCCATCCAAAATTTTTGATCTGACAGGCTTTCAAATTTTCAGAGTGTAGTGTGTCACATCCTGACAATGTGAAGCCTCCTGGTTGCCTATCATTTCTTCCTGAGGTAACCAGGCAACCACACGTTTTGTCACAAGATACCCGGGGTGTGCCATTTGGCATCTGCTCAGAAGAGGGGGGGACCTCCAGCTGGGGAGTGACCACTGTGGATCACTTGCCTGTTGGAAGCATGCAGATGGACCGCCAAAGGGGCAACTGCCTGGGGCACAGACCCATCGACAGTGCTTCACAGTCATTTCATTTCTGCCCAGGAGTCCGTATCTGCTAAGGTGGAATGTGACAGTCTTACAGCTGTGTTTTGTTGTTGTTGTTTTTTTTAAATTTATTTCGTGGAACAGACGGCAGGTGAAAAACAACTTTTAAATTGAACTGCAGGCATTTCAGACATTCCTCTGATCTATATCAGTTGTTGTTTTGCTCAGAGTGGATCTCAGTTTCCTCCATGGTCAGATATTTTGCCACTGATGACAACAGGAAGACTTTGACATCTAGTGTAAAATGCCAGAGAAAGGTCTCTGGTGAGTGAACACAAAAAATGAGGATAATTGAGATTTCTCCATTCACTGAAGTCTTTGTTTCTTAGTGTGTACTTCCTTTATTCTTTTGTCAGCTGCAGGAGTAGCAAAAGCAAAGTGTACCAGGATGAGGTTCTTTGTCCTGCCTTGCAGATCTCATTTATTCTCAACAATTTTCAAGTCAAGAAACAGATCTACTTCACCTTATACCTGTGCTGTACTTATTCTTTCCAGCAGCAGACACATATGAAAGTAAAACCCTGGATATTCCTTCACCAGTCGGTGTTTTATTGCAGTCTAAGTGAGTCATCACTTGACAATGCAAGTGCATTCGGTGAATGTTCTCTTTCTGGTGCCCTGTACCGAGGTTGGATTCCAAATCAATTTTTCAAAGCATTGCTTAAATTTCTTTTTAGCAGACCTTTACCCCTGTACGTTCAGATTTCATGTGGCACCCAATGAACTTTAAGCTGTTCAGTAGCATGTGCCCAGATTTCTTCAAACTTGTGCTGAGTTCATGGATTAGATCAGCAAAAAGGAGCTTCCACCACGTATACTTCAGTCTCGCTTGTAGCCATTGAAGCTTCTTTCTGTTCTCTACTTATTTTCTTTGTAGTTCTCAGGTTCTGCTGCCACAGGTGACTTGCAAATCTCGATCATCACATTGTGTATATTCTTCATAGGGTGGTCTTAATACCCTGTGCAAAAAGTCTTACTCCAGTTCCTTTCAGAGCTTGAACAGTATCCAAAGAGTATTCAATGTAAGATATATCAAAGAATACTAATTGCAGACTCTTTTTAAGATTTTTTTAGAATTTTTAGATTGTATTAAAACAAATTTCCATAAGCAATTAATTCTTCTTGAGCCCAGAATTCAGCTTTGTTTCAAAAACCAACTCTATTATAAGATTACCAAAACTCCAAGATTACCAAAACTCCAAGAACTTTTTGTTCTGATATGAACCATGTGCACAGATTTTCTTTAGCAAATAAGATAGGAAAATAACTTTGTACTTGCAAGCATGGTATCATGTACCAATGTACACAGAGATATCCTTTAATATATAGATGAACAGATCTGTCTATTCAAATATGTTTACAGAACACATGGCCTTTTCTGAACACTAAATATTGCAGAGTATCTGCAAGATGACTGAGTGATGAATTCTGAGCATTCCCCAGTTCTGTCTTTCTCCTTCCCTCCCTCTTTCTGTCTTCCTCCCTCTGTCCTCCCCTAGGTAATGGGAGGTTGGTGCTGATCTGCTTATGGTCATGGCTACAAAGGCATAAAACCTTTAATTCTTACTGGGGGAAGTGAGATAGGCCATTTATTCAGTAGAGAGATTACTTACCCTTTTTCTATCTCCCTTTTCTAGTGCCGAGCCATCAGGTCTCACACCTTCTTTCTTACATCCTCATCCCACCATAAACCACATGTCACTGGACGTGATAACTGTAATGTACTAATGTAGACAGATTCCTTTAGCATTGACTGCAGTCATTTCTCTGAATGGTCTTAGCTCTCCTTTTTTCCCTTTCTTTCTTGGTTACTAGCACTGCATACCAAGCTCTAGTAATAACAACCAAGTTATTGAAAGTTATCACATACAAAAATAAAGTTTTCCTTCCTCTATGCAAATGTGTCTCATTACAATGACTGCTGATGCAGAAATTCCAATCTGTTGAGACATTCCCTGCTGACCCAGTAACCCATGTCCTAATCAGCCAAGCTGTAGTTTTATTTCAGGCTAGGCTGTACTCCAGATATTTCATTCTCAGTGTATAAATTTTACTTAGCTTGAGAAATATCACTTGGGAGGGCAGTTGGTATTTTGCCATGAAAATAGGAGTCTCGTGCTTTAGAAAGTTCATGTGCCTAAACAACGTTTAGATCTGGGACTAAGCTCAATAACAGTATCCAGTCTAAAACATTCAGTTCTCAAGCAGGTAAGGAATAAATGGTAGTTTCTGTCTTTATCTCAGTATTAGTTTTATGACAACTTTTAGAAATGTTGGTAGAACGTACTACGCTCACACAAAAAACATTTTCTTCACTTCTCAACCATGAGTCTTCAAGCTCTATAATCCCCTTCCACTGTCTAGAATAATGAAGGAAAAATATATTTATTTCAAATAAACTGAATTACATTTCTATTTGTATGGTAATCCTACCATATTTTAAATAGGATTTTGTGAGCTGCATTCAGATATAATTTAAATTGGTATTGCTTCAAGCAAAAGCCTGTTATATCTAGATTCCTTTCCTATACAATTAGTATTAGGAAATAGATCTTTCTTAGCTTTGACCTTGCACTGACAAAAAGCCACTGTGGGTTGAGTATAGAAAATACTGTAGATGCTGCAAAAACCATTTTACCTTAACATTTAAATTGACAGGGAGCCTTTCCTTCCTCCCTGCAACTGTTTGGTCTATTTTACAAGCAATTGAGATCTAGTATTGAACCACCAGTTTTCTGAATCACTTGGGAAGACTATAAAACTGTCTCCTATTTGCTTGCCTATTTTTGTGTTTTCTTTTTCACACTGGAGAAGGGAATTTGCAAAATGTAAACATATTACTTGAAGTAAACAAGAAGACAAAATAAAATGATGCAAAGAGTGAGAGGCACATAAGTTTGCTGTTAGTCAGGAAGCAAGTATTGCCAGACTGCTGAGGACATGAGCAATAGATCTGAGAGAAGAGGAAAAGGAAGAAGGGGGAAGCTGAGGAATGCTGTTAAATTCAGTCCTTTTATGTGATTGGAAACTTAGTGACCTTACTGCAGGAACAAGAGGCAAGCAACCAGATAACTGCATGTTCTCCTATTCTTCTGTTGCTGGCGTCAATAATCTAGTTGTGAGATAAAAAATACCAGCAAACTGCTGAGCCTTTGCCACCCACTCATATGAAACTTAATAATTAAATTGTCTGCGGAACAGTTATCTGCAATTTTCAAGGCTGGAACAATATAGCTGAATGACTGAACAAAACCCAAACAGTTCAGACAGCCCTTGTTATCCATGAAGACGCCTGTGTGCCCACCAATTAATCAGTACATGTGCAAATCCACAGGACTGATTTTCAAACTTTTCTAATTATCTTATGCTTTGACCAGCTCCAGTGAAAGGTGGTTAGGAAGCCAGATACTGCTCAGATATTGCAAAATATTAAGATTTTTTTTTTCCCAGTGGGACTTTTTGTCTGATTTTTGAACTCCTTTCCTACACTGAATGGAATCCAGTTGCATTTTTTCTTGAGTGTAAATAATAAATAGGGATAAAGAAACAAATTTTTTATTTCAACTGCCACTTCTCATTTTCTTTCTCTTTTCATCTGCTATTTACATCCAAAAGCACCTTCTTTAAAATATTCCACAGCTTAAGATAATCTCTGCAAACAGAGCCAACAAATTTTATTTCTCCAGTGGGGAGAAGAATGATTCATCCGTTTATCTTCCCTGAATGCAGGTCTTTCATGCTTGTCTTGATGGACTAAGTCAGATGAGCAGACTTTGACCACTCATTCTTTTGGTCTTGACACTAACATGATTGCTGGTTTCTATGTGTTTATTTTATATACTAATTGATATTTTGAAAAAATAACTTCACATGGATAAAATTCTATTGAAGTTTTCATTGAGTGCAAAGCAAACAAAACCTTGGACAGAAATGGTAATTTGCCAAAATCATGCTCCCTGAGTAAATTCTAGGAACTCATGGTACACACAATTGGAAATCACCTCTCTGCTCAGAGTTATCCTTCATCTGGTAGCTTAGCACTAATACTCAAATGAGATTTGAAAATCAGGATTACGTACTGCTTTTTACTGGAGGTTTGAATTAAGGTTGCCTGTTGGCAATATTATTTGAAGTGGATAAATCTGATGGCTCTACTCGAAGCATAAAACTGCACTTCGAAAGTTCAGCCATATTTTGTCTTAGTGGTGAGACTAAATTATCTGTAAACCTTAACTGGGGAGTCATTTTTAAATACATTCCTGAACTTTTTCATGAATAAAATTAGGATCATGCGAGAGTAGCTATTTAAAGTATTTTTTAAAAAATCTCTTATACAGAGAAAATTCTGTGGGCACTGAATTTCTGGTGTGTCTTTTGGGAAAGGTTATTAATTACAGCAACTTCAGAAAACGTTAAGACTCATTGCATAATTACTTATTTATTTATTTGAGCTTCCCCTACATTTACCTGTTTTTCTCTGTAACTGTTGTGCAGAAGAGGTACTGAATTATAAAAACAGACTGAAAGGGAGTTCAGATTTACAGGTACCTTGGTTTCCTGGAGTTATTTGCATCTCTCCAAAACCAGGAAATAGCGCATTTCTCCAGGTCTGCTTTGATTATCTTTGATTTCTTAGCCAAAGACATTCAGATAAATCGAGACAGGAATATGATAAGCATTCAAATTCCTGAAGACTTGCTCAACATTTCTAGTTTTTAGGGAACAGGGAAATATAGTTTCAGTGATTTTGGAATATTGATGTGCTAGAGAGATGGAGACTTATAATTGCTCTTTTTTTTTTCCAATTAAAATAATTGTTATTTGAAGAAAAAAATTACAAGGCACTTTTTTAAATACCTATTTTAACTGATTGGTTCAATGTAGTTGAAATTTGGTTTTGTTTTTTTTTTTTTTTTTTTTTTTTTTTTTTTTTAAGAAACTGATGATGGTATGAAGCTGTAAGTGTACATATGCTGCCATCTTCTGGTAGAGTTAGTGGCCTGCAACAATCATTTCTTCAACATCTGTACTGAGCATATATATGGTGAGCATAGGCTTCTTTAAAATAATTTATCTTTTGATGTTTTTTTCAACAGGAATGTGATCAAGTTCACATAGATGATGTTTCTTCTGATGATAATGGACAAGACCTAAGGTAAGATAGAGCATTTGCTTCAATTTTTCTCTACAAAGATTAAATAAATTGAGCATTTACAGGAATACATTGTATTTATTTTTGCTGTATTTTGGGTGTTTGCAGTACCTACAGTTTTGCAACTGATGGCTTCCATGCAGCTGCAAGTAGTGCAAACCTTTGTCTGCCAACAGGTGTAAGAGGAGGGGTTGACTGGATGAGGAAGCTGGCTTTCCGTTACAGAAGAGTAAAAGAGTTGTATAATACTTACAAGAACAACATAGGAGGTGAGTTTAATTGTGAAAAACGATTTAGAATGCTGATAAGGTTCATCTATGTGGCAGTAAACTCCTGCCAAGTCGAAGTGCCTTTCAAACCACAGACTGAAATGAAAGTAATCTGACTGGACCTTGGGCAATTAAAAGCTCCTGACTGTAAGGACAGATCCAATGTTATGCCACTGTGCAGGAGAACCAGAGCCAGGGAAGCAGGGCAGGCTTTTGTTTAACTTGTAGAGAGCCCACTTGTCTCCTTCAAGTCCAGCACAATTACACCTACCTCCTCTTGACTTACTGATTGATTAAGACTCTTATTTTACTTCAAATAAGCTGTTATTCTAGAAAAGAGGAAATTTTAAAATTTCCACAGCACAGAGTAGCTCTGGGTGGCACTCTTTTCCATTCTACATTTTCAAGATCTGTTTGGCAACAACACACTGCTTAATTCTTTGCTCTACACATGCTATTCTGTTTTCACTAGGGGAAGCAGGAAACATCTAGCACTGCCATATGACTAGCTCTTTTTGTTATCTTTGTTGCTTACACAGCTAATTGTGTTAGCAAGAAATCCCAGCCTCACCTGGGACAAAAGCTTTCCTGTTCCTGCTTTCATTCACGGACTCTCTCATGTCAGTGGCAGCAGGCTTTTAGGAAATCATAACAGCAGAACTCCAAGAATCTGTTTTGGAGAGTCCTGTGTAACTTGTAGAGGTAGGTAACCCTATTCTGAGGAATCTCCCAGGAAAAGACTGTGAGGTCAGGAAATACTTCCAAAATCTTCAAACATTTCTAAAGCCACAATTGAGAAGGACAGAAGGCAAACCCAACCAGGACAGAGTCCCAGTGAACAATTTCCCATTCTAGAGCATGGACTCTTTCAATTCAGATAAAATTAATTTTAGAGGAATTTTCAATTTACCTTTAGTAAAACCACATCAGTGGTCTTTTAGCATTTCTTCTTTCTCTCACAAATAATTAACAGTACTACTAGCATGGACTGTGGATTAGTCACTAGGTTAATCACTTCCTAAATGGGCATATCTGGCATATTTTTTTTAAATTGTTAGTATTTTAGAGTCTTTATGTGCCACAAGATCAAGCCAGAGGAGCAAAGGATATTAGTAGATGACTGGCTTTCAACTGTTCTGCCTTGCCCTTTGTTGGTATCATGAAAGGTGTTCTTACATATTAAGAATACTTGAAACATTATTATCCAAAGGTTTACAGGGTTTTCTTATAAAATATTTTTTTCATATAAATCTCTTTCAGAGTAGCTGGTAGACTGCAACAGGAGGCTAGGTCAAACTAAATATTTTGGGCTGTTCTGTTTCAGATTTTTGAAGACAGTCATCACCATTTCTGAAAGAGAAGAGGTATATTAATGTCACCAAGCCTGCTTCTAGTACCATATCCAAATTTAAAATTGCTTGGTTTTAAAAAAGTCAGGTTTCAATACTCATGAAGTTGGGTGGGTTTTTTTGAAATCTGACCATTCATACTTTAAAGATTCTTAAGTGTTTTAAAGGACTATGTGAGGTATAAGGTCAGAAGATGCACAACCATTTCAGAGCTGCAAATGCTGCAAATGAAACTACTGACTAAATGGAACTGCTAACTACAAAAGGACATGAAGAGCAAGCCATCAGCAAACAAATGTCATATTTCCATATGCAAAACCTGAGGTGTACCTATATACAGAGTGACAAGCAAGGCAGTTACAAAGATATACAAATACCGTAAAGACAAGTTTGTAATAAAGTAATTATTTTCTCAGTGTGTCTGCCTATGATCCCCATGGCATGGGTCTCCTTGTCACTGCCTCTATAATCAGTGTAAGATGTATGTAAGAGCTTTGTTTGAAAAAATAGGTAGTTTTGAGAGACACGCTTGGAAACAAAGTCAAGTGTGTGAATATAAATTTGGGAGAGAAAAAAAAAAAGACGTTTTTTCAAGTTCTGGTGAAATTTAAAATTGAAACAGTAACTGAAAATCTGTACATTCCAGTTAACACAGAATTTAATTATATTTCCTTTCTTGCTTTTTTCATAAAAGGACTCCTAGGTCCTGCAAAAAGAGATGCATGGTTGCAATTAAGAGCAGAGATTGAAGCTCTGACAGACTCCTGGCTAACAAATGCACTTAAATCCTTATCAATTATCAGCACAAGGTATGTATTGAGTCTTTTTTTTTTTTTTTTTTTAATAAAAGGAAGTTTTCATTATGGATATTTAGGGCTATTTTGTGGCATTTCAAGTTAAAGTATACTAGTACTTTAAAAGAACAGTACAGGTGTAATACAACTTTTGAATAGGAAATAGGAAAAATTCCGTGGAAAATTATTTCATTTTCTGCCATTTCCACACTGAGTAGTAGGAAAGGTCTTTTAGAATGTAATGTATGGTCCTGTGAACATTGAAAGTGTATTTTGTAATTGTGAGCCAGGCTTTAAGCTATTTATCCTGTGGGCAGCATGTTAGAACTCCAAGTCTGCCTATTCTGGATTTCAGTGTTTGTGCCTATTCACAGTGGTACCTAAGTACTCTATAAATCCCTGAAGAGAAAATCATGTTTATTCTGTCCTCCAAACAGATCAGTATGATTAAACATATATCTAAGTTTTCAGAAGGATGAATATCTGTGTTTGATACTATGACTCAGATAAAAGCCTGGGATCCCAGTCATGAGACATAACTGTTCATGTGAAATAATGGAGCTGTGAAAACTGCTGCTGCTTAGTAATCTATTTAATATGTATTTTATTGGAAATCCTCAAAACATGTCCTTAAACTACAAGGAAGCCATCTTGCCTTCTAAACATATCTGTGGATAAAAAAAACTGTTGAACGAGAAAGAACAAACTTGGAAAGATGTGAAAAATAATTTTAAAAGTAGTTGCTTTTGCAGTATGCCTCTCAATTAGTTATTGTTTAAATTTTTTCACAGTGTCATAACTCATGAGAAAAAAAAAAACTAAAAAAAACTGTGTTAGTCATTGTGTTTAGCTCTGCATTTCTTTCCAAATTGTTACTCTTCAAAAAGACATTGTATAATGTCGATCAGTTGGGCATTGCAGGATGAATGTGATAAACTGTTGTCACTGGCTCAGGACTGCTAAATAACAGTCATTTATCTTGTCATCAAATAACTGTACAGCTGTAAATTTTTAGAAGATATGCCCGTGAGGCAGCTAAACTTCACTTACATGTTAATGACAAGAAACTGAGATACATTAAGACAGAAATAATAGCCTGCAGTCTGCCTTGGGGCTCACAGAAGGACTGAAAATCACAACTAGTTGCTCTCAGTTCCATGACCAAACACATGTTCCAGCCTGTCAGTGCCTGAAATGTCCTGGCTTTCAGTTTTCTGTTGTGTAACAGCTAAGCTCAGCTTCTCCATTCAAGCTTTCAACCTTTCCATTCAACGCTATCTATTGATGTGATTATGATTGTCTCTCCCTTGTCTCAAAAAAAAAAAAAAAATTAAAGAAAAAAATTACTCTTGAAACATGAAGAAAGTGATGTCAGTGTGCAGAAATGTATATTGGCCACTTATTTCCCCTCAAGACAGGAGTAACAAATGATGTTTTTGCTTTCTCCCAACAATTTAATTTGGCTGGTAGCTACTGCCAAGTAATCCCGAGCAGGAAAATGATGCTTTGAAGGCACTGGGATGTCTGTCTTCAGAGGTAGTGATCTTATATGTATGTTTCAGTGGACTCATCTTCAAGGACTTGGTTTTCATAAATCAGCCTGGAATACTTCCTATAAATCATGCCTATATACGTTTTAAAGGATTTTGCCAAAAAGTTTACGTACATTTTTCTGGAAGTGATGGTGCTGAGTAGCACTGCTGTGTGAGTGAAAGTGAATGTTGAGAAACCTTGAATATGCTCTCCACAGCTGGTTCACCTCATCAGCATTTGGGTAAATGTTTTAAACCATGTTTCTCTCATTTTAGGAGTAACTGTGTAAATGTGTTGGTAACAACAACCCAGCTTATCCCAGCACTTGCAAAAGTCTTGCTATACAGTTTAGGAGGAGCTTTTCCCATTGAAAATATTTACAGTGCAACTAAAATAGGTAAGAAAATTATTCCTTCATTCATTCTAACTACTCTGCATTATTAATAATTGCTTGCCAGTAATGGATGGATTCAAAACCATGTTCCTAACACGTTTTTAGTTAAAAATCAGACGTTGCACATGTTCAGTTGTATATGTAAATAATAGTATTCCTAATTTAGCTTCTTTTCATGTATGCCTAATATGATAAAGGTTCCAGTACTGATTAAAAGCCTCAGAAACTCCTACTTAAAATACAGAGAACATAAAATGTGCAGAGAATAATGAAGAAAAGTGTTTCATTAATTCTAATCCAAATAGAAATTTTGTTAAAATAATCTCTGTTCTGATCTTCAGCTCTATGTAAGGTACACCACAGCTTCCGAAGCTTTTTTGGAATCACAGCATATTACTGAGCATAATGATGACTGGTACCCACAGAAGCTGTGCTGATGGATGCCACAAGGGCACTTCCCTATTCTGCTGCTAACTGGGTACTTTGAAGAGGCTTATGTATAGTTTGGAGACTCATATATTTTGGAATCGCATCCAAATGTAATATAAGAAAAGTTACCAGCCCTGTGAGATCATGGAATCATAGAATCATAGAATGGCCTGGGTTGAAAAAGATCACAATGATCATCCAGTTTCAACCCCCTTGTTGTGGGCAGGGTCACCAACCTCCAGACCAGGCTGCCCAGAGCCACATCCAGCCTGGCCTTGAATGCCTCCAGGGATGGGGCATCCACAACCTCCTTGGGCAACCTGTTCCAGTGCGTCACCACCCTCTGTGTGAAAAACTTCCTCCTAATATCTAACCTAAATCTCCTGTCTTATTTTAAACCATTCCCCCTTGTCCTATCGCTATCCACCCTCATAAGTAGTCGTCCCTCCTCCTTCAAATATTGGCAGGAAATTGGACATATGACACAGTCTACTACTAGCAGTTTTGGCAGATTTCATGATTTGACATTTAGTAATTTAAGAATGTTGACTACAATATCTTGAATAACAAGGACAGTGCCACTTTATTAAAAAAAATACTACATTTCCTGTTTCTTGCAAGTGAAAAAAAAGTGAGAAAGTGACAAAATTTATATTATAACAATGTTAGGAAAATTTATTATCTCAGTTATCTGTTAATTAGCTATAGCTCATCCCTTGAGACAGAAATGCCTCAAATCCTTTGAAAAATTCAGGGAACAATGTATCCCAAATACAGCAAGCTTTGGAGAAGTTTTTGGAATTACTGTCATCTGTCATACAGCCCGTATGTTGGCTTCAGTTAATGAGATTACACTCAGAACAAAGAAAATCATGCTGACAGCACCCAAGGGGTTGAGGAGTGAAGCTGCATCTCTAGAGGCTCTGTGGAAGGAGTCCTACACCATGATTTCCTTGTAGGAACAGTGGCTGCTGTCTCATCCCTCTTGGGAACACAGCAAACTCTCTTTGGTACAGCACCTACTTTTCGTTTCAGTGACCTCTGCTTTCTGTTGGGCACAGGACTAAAATTGTAGCTGTTGCTTGCACACACTGAAATCAGATCCTGATTGGACAATTAATACACAGAATGCTTTTCAGAATTGCAAGCCTTTTTCTATTGGACCATCTGAAGAAAAGCAAGAGAAGAGCACTAAGAATCAGAGATACAGAAATCAGGAGCTTAAGAGAGGAGACTGAAAATCCTGGGGGGGAGGGGAGGAGGGGAGACGTCAGGTAAAAAGCTATTACAAAAAGAAAATAATCTTTTTCTACATTAATGGAAGGTATGACAATAAATTGTGGTTAAATTGCAATGGAGCATGCATAGGTTGCATATCAGAGAGATGCTTCCTAAGGGAAAAATTAATTAAATATGGAGATGCCTGTGGAAACAGCGAAATCATTTTATCTAGACAGTTCATGGATCAATAACGCAAGCATTTGCTGCTAAATTGAAGCTGTAGTACAGTGGGAAGATGGGTAGGTGACTTTGCTTGGCTCTTTTAAATCCTATTTATTGTTATTGGCTTAGCCTGCTTGTTTCCACATTCCTCCAGAAGAGCCAAATACTTCGTGGAAGTTCTCCCAGGAACCTGTTGTCTAGTTTTATTTTTGGTATCCATTGTTTTCCGAACACATTTTCCATTGCTACATGGCTTAATTCGCAATTATACTGGCCCTGAAATTGCTGCAGTCCTTGAAAAATTATTACTACAGGAATAGGGAAACATTTAATTTCAATTTTCCTTTCACTAACCTATTTGTTTTTGCAGCGCTGCTAATTCCTTTATTTTAGCGGCTTTCCTGTGACTGTTAAGAAAGGGATTTAATTTGACTCAAATCAGCTTAGTGTCACTAACAGTGTTAATTGTTTCTGAGCAGTTTTAGCTCTAAATCTCAAGGCTGGGAACTATAAAAAATAAGTAGTAGTAGCGATGTGTCTTAGCTCTGCAGTAAACCTTTGTAGAGCATCATGGTAACTTGCTTGATAGCTTGAACAAGTAGTGCATTGTTTTTCAGGCAAAGAGAGCTGTTTTGAGCGTATAGTGTCCAGATTTGGCACTAACATAACTTATGTTGTGATTGGAGATGGCCGAGATGAGGAGCATGCAGCTAATCAGGTAACTTCACTCTGAACTTTTATCTCATTTATCTTCCAGGAAAAGAAAGTTGCTTTGAACGAATAATGCAAAGGTTTGGCAGAAAAGTAGTATATGTTGTAATTGGGGATGGTGTAGAAGAAGAACAGGCAGCAAAAAAGGTAACCTGTCTCCTGAAATGTTGGTGTGATACATAGCTACTAATGCAAGCCTTTCTGTTTGCATTTCTGTCAGTTTTGTACAATGGCAGAATGACAAATCATTTCAGTCTACAGACACAAGGCCATAAGAGCATGATGACGTCAGCACTTAAAGTAAAATGAACCATTTGGATTCTAGCATTTGCTTTATTTCAGTTTGGAAAGAAAAAAAAAAAAAAAAAAGCAAAATAATTTAAAAATTGACCGAAAAAAAACCCCAAAAAAACAAAGGGGCAAAAATGTCTGACTAAGATCAAACAAATTACAGATATATCATGGGTTTGACATGAAGCTTGAGTGATCATTCTTAAACGGTGAAACCAGGTAGGTTTGAAAAGAGGTGTTATGGAGAATGTGAAAAACCATTAAAAGGATTGTGCAGATTTTTTACTTAAATAAAGGCAGATCTGTAGTTGGTTGAGCACACAGGATGAACATGCAGTTTTGATTCAGGAAATAAGCCTCTGCAAGCAGAAAAAGAAAACAACATAAATACTGCGCACTAAATCATTTTCTAAAAAAAAAAGTTGTTTATTTAGAAGTATTGTTTCCTCATCTGATGAATTCAAATCTAAACTTCACCTGATAAATTTTCTATGTTCAGAAGAAGATCAAATTAGTAGAAATTTGAACCATGCTTCACAGTATAGACCCTCAAATGTGCAGAAACAGATTTATTTATTTTTTGCCTCTGCACACCTGCATAAATTATAAAAATGTATTTGTGCTAGAAGTAATGAAATTAATTGTCCTCAAAGTATTAAGTTTGTAGAGTGTAGGAGGAATGGAAACATAATGAAAATAACTGAAATGCTTATTCCAAATGGTTCCTTGATATAGGCACTGGTGATGGGTCTTTCATAGATTGTGCTAAACAATGGTGGCTGGATTGTGTACTTTCCAGTTTGGCATGCTTTTTTTCTAAATATTGGCTACACTGCATGAATAGATAACAGAATTCAGAGAAATGGTTGAATAGAGCATATTACAAATAGATCTGAACAGAACATGAAAGTATGACTTCAATTCTACTCTGATCAATTGCTGAAGGAGAAAAGTGCATTTACCTGCAACTCTCAGAGACGCTGATGCTTTCTGCAACACATTATCTTCTTTTAAGTACAGAAATGTGTTATTTTCTCCTCAAAAGATATTTATTTTTCTTTTCCTCCCAGAAGGACAAAACCGTAATTCAACAATGTTTCAAAGTGTGTGTGAAGCCACATTTTATGAAAGTCTTATAACTTTTCAAATGAGCTTTCAGTCTCTTGCAAAGTATAACAAGTGGAACAGAAGCAGATTTCCTGTTAACGCTCCTTTGTATGGGTTTCCATGATAACAAGAAAGCAAATAGCCCTCACTAAATAATGGGCTCTTTATAAAGACACTATTAAGAAAGGCTGCCTAATTTTTTTTACCTTCAGGTGAACTGTTGAGCTCAGATCTATTTTGGCCTGATTTTTGTCAGTACCTTACTAGCAAAAATCATTCCAGAAACACAGCGATGTAAACTCCATGGTGGTAACCTGACTAGTCTCATGTATCAGATACCGCCCTCTGTCATAGCATTCATTGTTCCTGACCTTTTTCCCCCCTCTGACAAACACAGCACAACATGCCTTTCTGGAGGATATCCAGTCATTCGGACCTCTTGGCTCTCCATCAAGCACTGGAACTAGAGTATTTGTAACTGTGTTCTAAAGTTGGCGATCCTTTTTTATATATATATATTTCAAGTACACTGAATTTTTATGTGTGATTCAATGCCTCTGGCTTTACACATATGAATTGTCTTAAGAAGGGAAGAAATATTTGGAATTAAAAATTCCAAATTGAAGAATTCAGATTGCTGAATGGAGTTAAAACATTAGCGCTACGTAAGGAAGCTCTATGGTCTTATATATGCAACGTTTTTAAATGGATTAAAACTGTGGAGGTTGCTGGTACACACCGATGAGCCCTGACAGGAGTGAACAAAGGACTCGAACTGGCAAAGCACCAACATGCGTTTTCCAACCCACAAGGTGTTGTTCAACAACATTCCTCAAAATGGGATATATTCTCAGCACTGAGGTTTGAACCAGACTTTAGCCTACCTAACCCAGAAAATCTGAATTGGAATGCACTCAGACTGTATAATGACAATCCTGTCTAGACCTGTAATTTGTGTAAATTATTGATGAAAATAACTTACTGTGACTTTATTAGCAGCTGATTTTGGAAGTGGATGCAATTTTTCTTTCTTTTTGGGGGTCGGGGAGGGAGAGGGTTATATAATATTGTCTCTTTTATAAGTTTGGCAAACAGAATGTGCATAATGATGTGTTGTGCCTTAAGGAGAAGACTGTGTTTGTGTGTTATAATGTAACTTTGGTTAAAAACTATGTAGATAAACAAACAAAAAAAAAGCCTTTGTGATAATTTTTGACATGACCAAATTTGAAATTCAGAGAAATCAAAGAGAGTGACTGCACCAAAGCATTTAAGTTTTTGTTGCAGTAAGAAAAAAGAATAATAAAGGAAAGTTTGTGTTTTTATTTGGATTCTCAATAATTCCACTGACTGAGGAAAGTTGAGAGTACGCTGGGAGGTTGATAGTGGGGACCGCTACCATGAAAGCTAAAAAAGAAGAGTTTAACACTTTCAACATCATTTCTTGATTCTCTGATGAGATAACTAGGAGCCATTTTCATGAATTACTTAGTCCACTGAAAGCCATGCAATGAGTGTATTTGCTGTATTTGAAGGAACAAACTCGCAGCCAACTGATGAAGTATCTGGACTGCACTAATGGCATTACTGGAAGGTGAAAATATTAAATTAAGCACAGATGGAGGATAAAACACAGGTTCTTTAGAAAGAAAAGAATTCTAAAGAATGTCTTACTGGTCAAATGCACAAATTATGCTATATTCAGCATATTTAGGCAGCTGGAATTGCTGGCAAGATGGCATTGGCCCACTCAGGAGTACAGTCCATTTTGGTCAATATTTTGGCATATTTTAGTAGCTTTTCCATTTAGTTCCACATACAGATGTCTTCTGTTTTGGGTCAACATGTCTTTCTTCACCTAATTTTGATTACGAAAGATTAATATACAGGAGCAACCCTTAAGGGTCTTTGCATTCAGCTATTTCAACAGCATGCCAGGCATCTGAAGAGAGGATAAGGAGGAGATTTTGATGAAGAAATACTGAGAAATATGTTAACTTTAGTCATATGTATTAATAATTTTGGTCCACATGGTGATAATTACCTTGCAAGTACTGAACAAGCTGTCTTTCAGCTCTGGAAAATGAGCAAGGTCCGTTTTCAACAGAAGAGTCCCAGCACTCCACATGAACACTCTACAGCAACTGCAGTGGTTCATCTTTCATTGCAGAAGATGGAAACTGCTTTTTTGATTTTTATTGCTCTATGTGGAGATGCCTGAGGTTGCCTGTGCTCTGACTCTGTGAAGAAGTGTGAACAAGAGATGTTAAATGTAAACTCCAATGATGCTTACAGAAGTACAGCTATCAGCACTGAGCTGAATTTCTTCCACCCCTGTTTTGAAGCCAGTGTATGCCTAGTTACCAGGTAGTAAGCAGATTTTATCTTTGTTGATGTATTACATGAAAGTTATTTGGTAAGTGAAAGCTTGGAGCTACTAAAAAATCAAGACAAAACTCTTTTGTAACTTCATGAAAATGGAATTTGTTTGCTGCTTTGGAATTGGATATACAAGTCATCATAAAAGAAAAATAATTTTTTGTTATCATTGGAAAGTGTGAAGCCATGAGAATAACCACACATGAAATCACTATACACCAGTTACGTGGGTGATAGATATGTGTATTCAACAAATAAAAATGATACATACCTTATTTATATTTACAGAACTTGCCTAGTCACATTTGCTTAGAAGTACATTTTCATAAGACCTGTGGTGCCAGTTTTTCATAGTCTTCAAGTGGGAAAAAAATGTTTCTACTGGAACAGGAAAAAAGGTTGAACAAAGCCCTTCTCAAGTTCCAGCACCATAACATTGCATGAGAATGTCAGTATAAAAGTTTTTATTAAAAAAAAAAAAAAAAAAAAAATTGGTATGATGAAATAGCTTTTTTCAATTCTTTTTCTTCTTTCTTTCTCTTTTTTTTTTTTTTTTAACAAGTGATAGCATTATCTAAATGCATGAAGCTATTTTATTTCTCTTTTTTTCTTTAGTTTTTCAGTGTTCTTTACCAAATCAGATGTGAGAACAAACAATAGCCCAGCAACAACCATCAGTTCTTAAAAAAGTTTGCAGGGGAGTTGTTCTTACCTCTCTGGCAAAACTGACTCAATTATTATACTGGACGTTCAGAGAGGAGGTGAAGGCAAAATGAGGGAAGTTTTGCAGAACACAGTAAAGTTCTGATTTTAACTTGAATTCTGTGTCCCAAGTCAGTGAAAGTTAATTATAAAAATAATCCACAAAAAATGCACACAAAAAAAAAAAAACAAAAAAAACCCACAAAGATTTATCTCAAAAAACTTTCACAATTCTAAAACTCTAAAGTAAAATTGCAGAGCACAAATACTGTCTTGATAAGCAAAAGAAATTGTTATATATCCTTGAACAGGATTGAGTTGCGCATGCCTGTTTCGTAGAAACAAAGGACATGGATAAATTTTCCTGCATGAACAACAGAGAGGAGAAAATGACCAAGGCAGAGATGTAGTCAAGACAGACTGTTCCAGATGGGATTAAGCTGACGGCTGGTCATTTTGACATCGAGTGCATTTTAATTCAACAACGTATTAATCAGAAACTGCCTTCCCTTCAGCCTCACCTGAATAATCAAGATTGAGCACAGTTCATGTTTGCAAGTATTCTGTGCAAATGACGTGTAGAATACAACACATTTTGCTGATACTCTAAGCGTTTTCAGTCAGTTCAGAACTTGAAAGTTCATTAGGCATTTGAATACTCAGCTTGCAGAATACACAGTGTGATTGCAGTCACAAATTAGTAACTTAAATAGATATAACTCCATGCAGTTCAGCCTATCAGTGAAAAAGGAAGCAAAAGCTAAAAATGATAATTGTTTTTAGATGCCTATGGAGATAGCACACAAAGGCATAGGTGGCAGCTAGCTCCCAATTAATGATTTCATTAAAAGCCAGCATGAGCAGAAGTGTTTGCATCCACAGTAGATGCAGAGTATGTTCCAGTGTAAGCACTGACAAGAGAGATGAAGCCAAATCAAAATCCTGTATACAGACACACTTCATCTCAGAGCAGATGAAATCCTGCAGCCAACTGAACTGCAGAGTTTGTGGTGAATGTGGACTTGGCCCACAATAGGAAACCTGAATTTTAGCTGTGAGTTTGTGTCCAGATCTGGGATTTTGGTTCAAAAGTCATCTCTACTTTACAGGAGTGATACCAAGCATGTGCTTGAAATGAATATGGTATTTAGTATCTTTGAAGAGGAGCTGAAGTGACATGAGCCAAATCCCAACAATAGCAGCATTTTTGAGATAAAATTGAAGCCAAGGTTGTCTGTTCTGTATTAGCAGATTATAGTTTATTGGGGCCTACATAATTTAAGAAAATGTAAATTAAAATTAAAAGCTTGTAAAATTATGTACATCTTTACTATTTCTCAATAAATACACTTGGAAATGTCATTTTCTGCACTATAACATTTTGTAAGATGTTTGGTTTGTGGTTGAAACCCTCAGTAAAGAATATCTCTTATGGGAACTGAACATGACCTTGGATTCCTCTTAAGTATGTCTGTGCTGTCCCAGTGATCCACATCAAGCAACTCTGTGCCCTTGCAGTATGATACTAACTAGCTCATCTCTGCTGTTTACAAGGTGCAGCCCTGCAGGAAACCTCCCTTGTCCTGCACTCAGGATTCCTTACAATGGACAGCAGACGTCTTGCTCCCGATTGCAGCTGGAGAGAAAACTTTTTTGTTATAATGGCCTAGGGACACTGTTGATCTAGACACATAATGCATGAATTTAAGTTCTCTTACAATTCACTAACTAATGTTATGCTAATATTTCTCTTATTCTCCAAAACAGAAAAGTTGTTCAGGAGACAGACTGGAGTGCTCCAGTGAAGCTGAGCCTTGAGAAAATCTGCATGCTGTCTTTGGGAGTGGTGCTTCATGTTGGGGGTTGTTCTTGTTTTGAAAGTAGCAGTCCCTTTGCTGTCTGCTTTAAAAAAAAAAATCATTTCAAAAGGCAGGGCTACAAGCTGATCAAGCACACATGAAGTGCCATTACAGTTTTGGAAACAACACTGCAAGTGGCAGAGCCTTGGGCCTTGGTACCCCAGCACTTCAACCAAAAAAAAGCAGATTTTTTTTTTTTTTTTTTTTTTTTTTTGTTGAGAAGAAAAAAAGCACAAGAAAATTTCACATTTATTTATTAGTGTTGGACAAGTGAAAAAAAAAAACCCACCACAAAAACATTTGTCACACAAAATACCATTTCTCAGCCTTGGCAGATGAACTAGTCCTCAAATATCTATCTGAATGTTGATTGTTAGAAATTCAAATATGCTGTCCAATAAAGATGAAGCATGAGAGCACAGGAAAATGAAGGATGTAGATTTAAACAAACCAGATCATATCAAGAAATCAGGTTGAGAACAGATTACTAGACTTGATTAATTAATTAGACTTGATTTTTCTGCTGTGTTCTTAGTTGCTAGGAAAATGAAGAACAGCAGAAAAGCAGCAAATGGAAAGTGATTTGTGTTTCCTGGGCTACTATATCATCTTCTGTGCTCTTCTCCAGGAAGCACATACTTTTTCAACTAATAAATAAATAAATAAACTGGAAAAAAAAAAAAAGAAAAAAACAAAAACACAGCCCTACCAACAAGAACTGTTTGGAAAATATTAGAAATTTGTGACTCAGTGAAACCAAATTATGTGTACACATATGTGCCAATGAATGAAACATTTATAGTCCTGTTTAGAGAAAAAGTAAATCAGGAGCCCACCATATCAGCCAGAAAAAAAGTCTGAGCCATTGTAGGAATCTGTTGAGTATGGCTTCTATCTGGGATATCAATTCTCTGATGCCTTTCCATCTAGTATGTTTTCATCTTGTTTGGGGTAGGATCTTCCTGCCTTCCAGTCTTCTGATTCATACTGGCTTGGTCCCAGTGCTGAACACAAATGTTTCTGAAAAAAAAAAAAAAAAAAAAAGAGGGTGAAAGGTGAAAGATAAGAAGGGAAAGAAGAACTGGAACAAAAAACCCAGCACTAAACCCACTATGCCCACTGTGAATGGAAATAGAAAATGCCCTGGACAGCATTTAGAAATTGAGAAGCTACAGTGAGCTGACTGGTTGCCTCACAGTAGCCCTGCAGCCCCTGCCAGTGCCTAGGCACCGAAAACAGTGGGGCAGGGCAGATATCTCAAAAACATGGTGCAACCTCAGTCTCTGGCGGCAATAGAGAGAGATCCCATCCACCTGGCAACTGAGCTGCTCGCTTTCAGAAGAAAGCAAAAAGCAGAGAGGGCACTGCAATTCACAAGCATACAATGTCTCCTGCACATGGGCATTTAAGTATATTAATTCTCCAGAAAATAGTTAGCTGTTGTGATGAAACCTTAGTAACAATTCAGGTGCAATTGATTAATTCCCCTGCTATTACAACACACTAATAGTTTTCACACTAAAATAAATGGTTTTCATTTATGTATGCATATTAATTTTCCCATGGAATAAATAACTCATCTGGTAGGAAGAGGAAGTATTGAAACAGGGACTGAAACTGATATCTTCTAAGTGAATTTTCTAGCAACAAATGTATATTCTCTTTCACTCCTGCAGCTTGCTGTCCTGTTGATTACAGATGCATTCATATTATCCTGTAAAACTTGCTTCCTCGTAAAAGCTGTTGCATCTGGTGGCAGACTTGCTCTTGACCTTGTGTGGCTGTGTCTCCATGAGGATCTGTGTGGGTTGTAGATTCATCATCCTGGAGGTCCCTTCCAACCCAGGCCATTCTGTGATTCTGTGATCCCTTCCCTACTTTGCGTAGGGAAGGTTTTGATCAGGACTGGGTGTGCTGATCCAGCTGCAGGCTTAGTCCCTCCACACATGACAGCAACAATGAAACGCCTTTTCCTCTTCTTACTACACAGCTTAGCAGACTTAGCTAAACCATGCATATACCAGCGGTACCTCATCCCATCCCCATTATTCATGAGCCCTGTTCTGGGAAGGCAAGATACTCACAGGCTGCCCCTGCTACCATACCACACGACAGTATGTCTATGAGCAAGATCCTACATCTCCATGCTGGAGCAGTTTGATATGTGACTGTCCCACCAGACACCCCTTGCTGTTTAGTCTCTGCCAAGTAGATTGGCAGCAGGTACAACAGCCGCATGTTTTTTGAGATCTCCGCATCTCCCCAGCGTGTCCGCTGAACAGCCTATTATGCTATCTTCACAGGAGTGCATCAGCTTCAAATGTATCTTTCTCATACGTAAATCTTTTAGTGTGCTTTGGTTTTATGGCACAAGCTATGACTGTAGCATGGCATACACTTCTTCAGCCTATGCAAAGGAGTATTTACCAGAAGCCCTTTATGACAATCTGTGCTTCGCAGTCACTCATGCTTAAAGCAAAACATATTTTTTTATTTCTTTTTTTAAATGGTGGGGGGAGGGAAGGTTGAAAAAGTGGGAAAAGAATAAAGCCAAGTGCAGAGGGAGGCTGCTCAGCTCAAACAGCTTATGCATGCTGATTTATGAAATGCAATCTTGTTCTCAGCAGTCACCTCAAGCCACTGACACATGGCAGCTGAGGGAGGTAAAGTAATTAGCAAGGTCTGTCTTCTCCTATTACTCACTGGGAGCTGAAATCACGAGCCCTCAGTAGTCTTGATGAGCAATAAGTTCGTGCTCAACATTCATCTGGCTGGTGGGCAACGTAGAGCCAGTGTAACTACCTGGCCCCTGAGGCTGGTTGAGAGTGGGGGCAGACAACCTTACTCAGATCCTTCCTTGAGATGGAAACCTACCCTGCACACTCA